AGCAAGACATTAAGCATTTCGAGGAGCGAGACAACCTCAACTCACTTAACACTACCATCCTGTTATACGAACCTAATAATATCATTCACGGCTGTGAGCCAAGCAACGTGGCACCTGTAGAGTACGCTCTACAAAAGTTGGTCTTGTTAGGCTAAATAGACGGCGTGAATCTCGAACTACTACAAAGGAGAGTATGGCACTAGCACTTGCCGTGTTCTTCTTTATTGCAAGGCGCGAGCAGGCCACTAACGGAGTGAACTCAAGGCACCAGATAGACAGAATACCAATTTTAGCTATTGTAACACTAGTGAGGGATTACATCCGGAGCAATGGCTTGGTTGTGCTTAGTCACAACGCGAGGTTTCGACTCTCTAGCGCTATATCTCTTGTGATCTACAGGAGCATCTAGCAGACCATATGTCCATATTAGAAAGCCTGCTCTGCCGTTCGTCTTATCTGGACTACGCCTTAGCTGATCTTTCCATGTCGTGTGGGCGCAGGGCGTCTAAAGACTCCCTTCTCTTAATCTCTGCATAGTCGCGAGAACTCCCAGGTGTATCGCTATTAGGATATTGCTGACTTTATTAAGAATGCCAGTGATGGAACGGAAACCGAAGTAGCCGAAATGCACAGCCGAATTCAGGCTTCGATGTCAAGACGGCGTCTTAAAATATACTAGCCCGAGAAACCTAGGAGCGACCTATTATAAGATGTTTGGATAGTTCCAGGAGGTGAGCGACTTCAGCCCGGGCTTTGGAAGGGCCTGAAACGTTCCACCGGAGAGCGGAGTGAATGAACGTTGTACAGGGGGAATCAGCTTTGGAAGATAGTCTTAGCATTTCTTCGGTACCTACGGGACAACACAAGAGGTGCAATATGAGGGCGCCAGCAAGGAGGCTGAGTAGCATCCCTTTGCGTTCTGTGTAGACAAAGAACCCCGAGCTTTTCAAACCTACCTCTAGCCGGCAGCTGGCAGCGAGGAGCCAGCAGCCAGCAGCAGCAGCACACGACACACCGTATTGCTATCGCCCTCGCTGAGCCGGGAGCGAGCAGCACCGGCACACGGCCCTCAGCCAGCACCGCATCATCCTCCACTGGCCAGGTGTGTCTTACCTTTCTTCTTCTTTCTCTTCCCTGACGCCAACACGCTGGGGCAAACACGTGGACGGGCGATTGCGCGAAGATGTGAGGCTGACTTCGCCTGGAAAGACCACAGCGTTCGTTGCATTATGGTATGCTCTCTGTTCGGTCAACCGATTCCACGGCCGCCAGGTCTTCATTAACGAGACCTAGAAACCGTGAACGTGAACGATAAGTGCCCCTCAAATGGCAATGCAAAGCCAAGACAATGATTTTGCTTGACTTCCGCTTAGAGCATTACACGCGAGGAGCAGATGCCTGTTGTGGCGAAACTGAAGCAATATCGAGGGTATCCCAGCAGGTATGTCCTATCGTGTCATTTGTTAGGACTGACCGGAGTGATGCCGGATTGCTCCAGCATCTCCGCTAAAGAGGAATTCTACTACGTGAAGCGAGCATAGACACGGCCTAGAGTACTTAAGCGCTGCGCACGACGGCCGACCAGTCTGACTATGTGTATGCGGCACACTATAACGACTTGATCTTCTCGGGCGATGCCTACAACGGTCTGTAGAACACCTATTGTCAGCGGGCAGTAGCTCCTAGCTGGAACGCTTAACGAAGACCGTATAATGCTTGCTGGGTTCTCTGCCCTTTAACATCTGTTTCGGTTGCTTATTAAAACGTATCGACGGCAGAAGCTCTCTCCGAAGTTAGCGACCGATCCCTACAGAGAGAGGATTGTAAAGCTATCTAACGTGTTCTTACATAGGAGTCTCCGCTATATCTACGCTGCCCTTGCTCGGATTATTTCTAGATAGCACTAGGGATAAGAAAGTAGATGATCCCTACCTTAGTCTCCTATCGATACAGGCGAGGCGACGAAAATTTGCTTTGACCGCTCCTCGAGAAGCCATAACGGGGATAAGGTATTGGCTCTTGCGTACTCCGGGTAGTAGCTACAGGAAAGATCCAAAATGCAGACCAACCTGTTACCTCTTAATGCGCAAGGCAAGGCACATTACCAAGATTACTACGAGGATGCTCTTTGCCCAGCCTTAGTCTACTACTATTAAGGTTCGTAAAACGACATCCGCCCGAATTCATATTATTCTAAGCGGGTATGTAGAATGGCTTATTAGCCTTCTCCTTCTTCTCCCGCTCGCGAACTGCGTAACAACACCTTCTTAGCCAAGTCCTATCTGGACCTACCTATTGTTACACTGTATGCACAATTTCGTGCGCTTATTCTCCGGCGTACGGTGGAAGTCTTGGAACAGCTCCTCTTCGTGCTAATCTGAAGCTAGTACGCCTAGAAAGGTCCGCTGAAAATGATCTTTGGCAGCTTGACAGAACGGAAGGGTCGTGAGGGGTCTTAATAGCAAACTTCTTCTCATTAGCTATGTGCTAGCGGATGGGATTACTCGCACAATCAATGCTGAGATCTTTGCCCTTGCAGTGCCTAGCTCGAGGCGTTCCGGGCCGAGGATAGGAAGTCCAGGCCAGCTCGACTCGACGAGGCTCTCAAAGAGGTGGGCCTGGATCTAGGCCACTGGGCCACTGGATCGTTACTATTATCGAGAGAATATCGGACCGGTGCTCCCTATTAGGCACGCTCGCCTCGCCATTCTGCCTCTTCTTCGACTTAACGTCCCTTACGATAGCGTCTTTCTTCCAGCTCCACCACCTAGCAGTATGCCTTCAGGTGTAGTTATACGCATCGTCTACTTTGGTCTGATAGATTTGCTCGAAACAGCACACGCGATTGTGGCAGTCGTTCTAGAGACGTATTCCTCGATTCAAAACGAATTGCAAGCTGTGCCTACTGTCTTTCTGAACCAGATCTTCGTACCAGATCTTACTAGTCTAGAGCGGAACGTTTGGCTGTTCGACTTTGAGAAGGGCTTTCGCGGGGCAGCAGAAGAGGACGAGGAACGGATGTCCTAGTTCTGGGGCTGTGGGCCTATTCGCAATAATCTAATTCCAAAAGTTTGCAATTGCCTGCCCTGTGTAGAATACTTTGAGCTACGGACAATACTCTTCTACGACAATTGAAATCCCCGGACAGCTTGTGCATAGCCGTTCTAGCTAGCGATCCCCGAGACAGTAACCCTTTCGACATTAGCAACCCAAAGCCAAAACCAATGTCGAGCCCACGCCCCAACATCTGTACGAGCCATACCTCTCTAACGAAAGGACCGCATATCAGTGATAGCTACCAGCAGCATCACCCTTTCACTCCCTCCTCGGTTATCTATCCACAGCGTTCGCGGGCTGTTTTCTAAATAGTCGGAAGCTAGTTTTGTTAGCAGACGAACAGATCTGCATGCGATCAGAGGCGCACATACCGCATTTGCGCTCATCCCTTCTGTGCTGTAGCACGACTGCCAGAGATACATCGGGAGATAGCAGCATCCCTAGCATCGTTAATAATGGTGCAGACAGGGTCCCACGAGCCAGTCGGAGTTGCTTCGGCAGGGTTGGAAGAGCTCGTGAAGCCAAACAGCCAGAGAGCTGCGAATGTACCGACAATGACGGCGATGATCATGAGAAAGAGATGCATAATGTCGATCTGGTGGTCGGAGAAGCTGGAGCCATTCCCGCCGTTGGATAACGGTGTGAACTGGCCCCTGGAGTTGCGGGGACGGGGTGGCATTGGCTCGCCGATCTGCCCGAAATGGCTTGCGTAGAAAAATTTCCTCTTTGGGAAGTGACAAGATTGGGTCGCGCGGTATGACCGAGCCAGCTGGGAAGAAGCCTTTGGGAGAGAATGAATGTACTTGAGATGCGAGGCTGAGTCCTGCTTTTTGACTTGAATCTGAACAGTTGAAACATCGAAAGGTCTCACTCTCTGACTGGGTAAACACGATTTCAGAGTCAAGTGTTCCGGCCCACAATAGTCCAAGACTTCATCCTCCACCTCAATGACTCCAGTGTCCCAGTCAAACGTGTCAGACATATGCGCCAGCATGCGACAAATCTGAATTGATTTGGCTTTGTTTGCAACTATCTCTTCTGTAGTCAATGCGAGAACTTGACGCATCTTCATGTACGCTACGCGCTTGGACGACTCCCCCTACCGTATGCATGTATCACGGCCGTCGAGCTTGTCAGAAAAATGAGACCTGGCTGCCTGGAGAGTGTAGCCTTGATGCGTCAAGCTCAGGTTGCACTAATGGATAAGACTGGGCAATAATGCTGAGCGACTCTCTCGGCATAGCAGAATGACAGTCTCGATGGTTGTTTTTATCGACCTGTTGAAACCACTACTACGCTGGTTACCTTTCTGACCGATGCTCCCTAGTATTAGCTAGAAGATGGTGTCTGCGACGGTCTCAAAGACATTGTTTGAAGGCAATTGGACGAGACAAAGCCTAAGACTCCCAACTACGGCCTCGTCAGTAGCATCTGAGACACTGAGACTGATCGAACAAAGCCGCTAGCGCCTGACCATGGCATGTGTACGATCCATGTTCCAGAGACCGGTCGAACAAAGCCGTCAAGGCCTGAACATGGCGTGTATACGATCCATTGTTCCAGAGACCTGTTCCACACGATGGGCTCTTAAGAGGTGGTCAGGCTCGACTGATTGAGAACCTCGACAGACGAACTTTCCACCACGGAGAAATCAAAACGTCGCCGTTAACTTTCATTTCAGCCCAGACGCTCGTTCAAACATACTCAGGATCCAGCGGTCCCTGTACCCTCGAATCGCAGTATAGTTGCTGGCTCAACTATTCCATCTCGATCACTACGCACAGAGACTTACCAGCTCAGTCTGCCGCCGAGCCCGAGTTTCCAAGACCGTCAGAGCTGCGTGAAGTCTATCCGAAGCGCCTGGTTTGACGACAGTCTGATCGGCCAGTCTGCCTCTGTATCGTACTCTCGTCAACTTTGTCGTCCGCAAAGGTCTCCCCGACATGGTCCCCAAGTACTCAGAGGACAACAACGTCAAGCTCTACCTGTCAGCCCGGACCAAGCATCTAGAGGAGAAAGCCAGGTGGATTCAAAATGGAAGCAGACCCGAGGGATCTACCGCCGTAGACACAAACGCCCTTCTCCTCGCAAGTCTGGAGCAACGTCTTCGAGAAGAACATGGCTACGACAATGATTCCATAGCGAAGCTCAAAGACCACCATCGCCTCGAGTACAAAGAGTCTCTCGCTCATCGTCCTATTGTGCAAGGGCCTGGACGTCCCCCTTCGAGCTCTGCACCGGAAGCACCGTCTGGATTCGGCACATTGTCCAATGCTTCTGTTCGCAAGGCGGTCCTACAGACTCCTCCTAGTGGTAGACCGCTTCCTCTTCGCGAGCACCATGATGAATCGGCCGCGACGCCTTCTGGGCATGATGGCAGTCTTTCCAATGCACGTCCATCTTCCGCACAGGCTTTCAGAAGACAGATCCAACTTGAACAAGCTCGCCATACACCCACCAGGTCCGCGAGACCTCGCAGGGTGTTATCAGTTCCTGCTCGGAGCGGCCAGCGGCAGTCTTCGCTTGGGAAGAATTCCCCAAAACGAGTCGACAACATTCCAAAGAGCTTCGAAGAAGCTCCGAGCCCTGCTGCAACGAGTGAGCCACGGAGCTTCCGACTTGCAGATTCTAGACCACAGCATCCGGAAATTCGTCATGGATCTGCTGATGATGACGAAGCTCCTGCTGATTCAAACCGCACCAGCATCCAGAGCAGTGCCTTCTATGGACAGCAAAGTCCAGACTTTGGATACCCGAACCTCTCTGGCATTACGGACGTTCCTCAAGACCAGCTTTCAAACGATGCAGACTTACAGGATGAGGATTTCCAGGATAAGGACGATGAGGGCGGTGACGATGAGCAGACTGACGTTCAAGAGCACGAAGAGGACGAGGAGGAGATTTTCGATCTGCCTCTGCAGGAAATCTTTGCCTCGATTATGGGCCCTTGCAACATCACCTGCGACTTTGTTACGGACCATTCGTGGATACTGCCGGCACTGTTGGTGATTCTTGGCCTCAGCATCGTCCACTCGCTCCGCCCTGCTATCGGTATCGCTGCAGGATGTACGAATCAGTCAGCTTCACTGTCTTCCTTTGTCCAGGCCTATAAGGACCTTCCCATGACTCCCTTCACCGCGGCTCGACTGGCCACGTCTGCTCCAGACGCAGTGGCAGGAATCTGTGCCTCGGACGACATCATCCACGGGTTTGTGACCAACACTGCACTCCTTGGCAGCAGCTATCGCAACGCGATGCTTGGTCGAATCGACGAGCTCGGCTCTGGATGTCCACATCCGAAGCACGTTCATGCCTTTGCTCTCAGCAGCGACGGCAGTAAGACCGCTCATCGGAAGACCACGAGGCTGGATGTTCCCTTGACGCAACAGTCGAAGCTGATCGAGGACCTCAAGACTCTGGGTCAAAAAGTGAGAGAGCTGCAGGTCCTCGACGATGAGATGTGGAAGCTCAAATTTGCCGAAGTGAAAGTCTGGCGTGGCTTTGAAAAGGAGTTTGTGGAGCCTCTCCTTCTTCGTCAACAACAGCAACAGCGGGACCAACACGAGGACGGCGAGAAAATTCGAGATGTGTTGCAGATCAACTTTATCCTTCGGTATCTGCTTCATACCTGTCGGGCTGCTGGACTTGAACAAGAAGGAGGCTTCATCCGACGCTGGGTCTATCAACTTGTCCTGGCCTCTCCACTTTTGCCCTCAACAGCCTCAAACGTTGCAAAATGGGAAGAAGCGAACATCAAGGCTTTCACCGCCTGGCAATCTTTGATTAGCGAGACGGTCAGAATCTGGACCAAACGACAACAACTCATCCGAAACGCGGAGACTGCCAGCCAAGAGTGTACCTTTCGCAAGAAAAGTGCCCTCAACACATTGACGGGCAGCGGACAGTTCAATCTAGCAGGCGACGCTAACGAGAAGAATCCCAACGACGCAGCCCTTCGAGAGTATTTCACCACGACATTCCCGAAAGCTTGTATCTCCCCGTTCTCGGACGACGATCGGCATCACTACGAGGACAAGAAATGGGCAATCGAGATCGTCAATCTTGAGATGTATGGCAGGCAATACCAGGACTCCCTGTTGCGATGTGGTGCCTTCGACCAAGTCGAGCTGGGTCACAACAAAGGTTTGAAGGGTATTCTGGGGACGGCAAAGATGGCGGAAGAGATGCAGATCAAGGAGATAAGGAGGCGGACTGGGGAGAACAAGAGATGGGGGGATGTTTTGGGAATTGGGAGGGATTGATTACATTAATGGGGATTGATGGGGTTGATTGCCGGGACTGACAGGGGGAGGATCGCTGCTTTGCAACAATTTGTTCGATTGGTTCGATAATGAAAGCGACAAAAGACTGCTGTTATTGTTATTGTATAGTCAGAACGCTTTCTGAAATATTGTTAGGGGCCTGTCGTTTGATTTCGACCGCGGCATCGCATCTTTTTTCAATCACTGTTCTCTATAAAACAGATCGGCTGGTCTTTGCCTCTTTCATACGTTCTATTCAGCTGTAAAAAGCAATTCGGTATGAAAGCTCACATCTAAACGTTTGACTACAGTCGTGCGAGACTGGGGTACCTTCATTACCCCCTTTAGTAAGACTTGTACCGCACTCAATAAGCACAAGACCCTTTCCTACACAGGTTTGAGACTTGAAGCTAAAGTTAGCGAAACACGAGCATTGCTTCTTGACTTTCTCGTCCAACCGCGAGCTCTACTCCGTCGCAACTTTTGGTTTGCTATCGAAATGAAGCGTGGAGGAGTTTCCTGTAGCGGATTGATTGTTCGGTCCACATATTGAATGCTCCTTGTCGGTTGTTGTCGGAAGAAGGAGAAAAGACACGAGAGGAAATAATCAAAATTCCTTCCGCTATCCCATACCTATTTTACGGCAGCAGAGTCTCTTCCCACGCTCTCCCAGACCTGAACTTATACATACCACGAGCCTGCCCAATTCCAAGATATATCTGTAATGGAAGCGTTCGAACTTTGCACCGCCGCGGACAGAAAACAATAACGACCCCGGAGTCGAAGTGAGGTCAAGCGGAGCATATGCCGGTCTCAAACAAGTATATGCCTATGTGGAGTAAGCTTAAATAGACACCATGTCTGTCTCACATAAAGACCATGCTTATTCTGAATAAACTCACTTCGAGGACATGCCTAATTGCGATAAGCTACGCTTGAAACACGCTATACATGCATGGCGCCCACGCTAACCATTCTGCCGGAAGCGGGACCGACGGGCTTATTCAGGATTGGCAGGTCCTCCGCGAGGCAGCGACTTCATGTCCTTCAAACTGCTTCTTACCTTACTTCATACCCGTAGGTTGAAGACACAAAGCTCTCGCGATAGCGTTGGAATCTGGTTAACCTTGTAACCCATGAACTGTTCGAATTGAGTGAATTGACGGACTATTTGATACCCTCCACGGTTATAATTCGCCCCATCAGATCGTCCAAGACCACTTCCGACGCCGCCAAGGTCATGTCGATACAGGTTCTCAATTGCGACGAGTCTCCACCTTCCGCCCGGCTGCCGAGATTCTGCCCATCAGGTCCGCCGTTCCTGCTGTTCGGCCCTGGATTTAGCCACTCTCTGAATTGCACCACAAAGCCATCACTGTGTCCACTGCCTGATGAAGAAGTCTTCGTCCTGTCCTCTCTCGACGCCTGATCCTTGACCGATAGAACAATCCGAGGAAGAGCCCTCAAGAAACACAGCCCTTCTGCGAACCCTTCCGGTGAATTTTGCATCGTCTCTGGATGCGAAGAGTCGCAGAAGTCGGGATAACGGAGGATGTAATCCTGAAGACTGCGTTGATCCATGAGACTGTACACAAACGGCATGGTCCTGGCGGGTCCGAAATTCTGCGGGGAAGTCGTATTGATAGTGTCGTGGGAATTGCGACGACGGCGGGCAGCAGATATGGTTTGTAGGAGTTGTTGTTGGCTTCGCGGGTTGTCATCTGCAAGGGACATTGCTTCTTGCCATTCCTCCCAAACCTCCGGAATGCGGCTTGGCATGTTTACTTCGCAGACAGGAAACAGATGCATCGCGCAGCGAAGGCGAAAGACGTCGGTGGCCCATTTGTTCGCGAATGCGGATGGCGCGAGGAACGGATCGAATGCGTGAGGTCGAGGCTGCAGAGCTGGAGGTCGGAGGAGATGCTGGCAATGAAGTGGATAAGTGCCGACCTGGAGCAAATCGCGAGGAAGATGCAGCGTTTCAGATAGGGAAATCGGCGAAATCGCAGCAGTGCTACGTCCGACGGACAGCAGAAGGGAAATGATAAGCATTGCTTGTGTGGCGCTCTGCATCGCAAAGCCAATTGTCGTGAGGTGTGAACGGAAAGGAAAAGGTTGTTGGTGTGAAGATGCATGTCGCAAGGTGCCTTGCCCCGGAAAGGGCCGAGCCGCGGAATTGGACACCAGTGACCAGAGGCTGCTTTGCAGCAGAAGATGGCGAGAAGACAGGCTGCCGCGGGACAATTTGTGCGACCCTGCTGACCGATTATGCTGTGTTGGGCGTGCGCGAGCGACGTGGCGAAGCCGACGGCATTGCGGCGGCGAAGAGAGGGTACTGTGCACCTCTTCGTTGACGCACGATTACTGGCAGGAGTCCAAATGTCCGAAACCTCCAGACGATAGCATGCGTGAGCTTTTGATCCAGTCTGGGACACGAGCTGTGGACACGAGCTTTGGACATGACTTTTGGACATGACTTTTGGACATGACTTTTGGACATGACTTCTGGACATGACTTCTAGACACGAGTTTTGGACATGAGTTTTGGACACGAATTTTGGACACCAGTTTTACAAGTTTTGGACACGAGTGACGCATCTTGGACACGAGTCGTGGGCTTGAGCGTGCATTCCGCCCCGTGGAAATACTACTGAACAGGTCGCTCTGTTCCAAAATCCGTCTTTTCCTTCACAATATTTGACCGCGCTCCTTGCACTTTCATTCCCCTGGAACATTCATAATTCATTCTCAATTCCTCCTTGTAGCCCAAGCCAAGCCATGGGCTCTTCCGAGGCATTCGTGCCTGACATTGTGGTTGCAATCAAAACTTGAAGGCTCTCCATCAAATTCTTGATGGGGCATAGCTTCAATTAGAATTCACAGACATCACTTCAATTGGAATTCGGTATCAGGCCATCTAGCGTTTGACTGCAGCTACCACAGAGAACGACTCGGACGGTTTTACGACGACGACGCCGCCGGTAAGTATATGTATGCGTGTATATCAAGATGCAAGATCGTACACTGTGCACAATTCTGGGTCCTGGGACGAATTATGCCCACGATCCTAACACAAGCGACGCGTCACGCCCTCGATAGAGTCGATACGTCTTGTCGCCAGACCAACGGCGAGTTGTCGGGAATATGCGTGCTGTATGCTGCACAATCCGTGAACTTGGGCCGAACTCTAGTCACGATCTTGACATAAGTGACAGCGCTTTCGATACGCCTGTTGCCACCCCGGAGAGCAGACACTTCCCGACCAATGGATGCCACTCGAGATGGCGATCTCGCTGCATTCCAGAACAACCCGAACAACCCTCTTCAGCCGGTGAGGAAAGCCTCGTGTATGCCTGCAGCCTACCGCATTCGCACCGGGCGGGAGAGGACTCGCTAGACCGGACAGCGGCGGGGGAGAACTCGCCAGACCTGACGGCGGGGCCATGTGCCTGGGGGAAACATCTCATCCATAGAAAAGCGTAAGAATCTCTCGCCGTCTTCATTGTCGTCATTGTTCTCTACGAAAGACTTATCCTCCCCCGATAATACAGTCTCAGCCTCATCCTCGGACTAGCTTCTCTTGAATCGCTCTGACAGAGCGTAACGATGCGCCCTTACTGGGTTCCACCTCATACGAATACGGCACGTGTAGCGAAAGGCTGCGTCATATGGTATCCTCCGGGATCCATGTAGATATTGAAGTAGATGAGAGACCCCGAGAGAGATGGTGTGTTAGTCGCTATTAGTCGAAGCTGGTGGCCATCCGCTACAGACTCCGGGCGAGGTTAGAAAGTTCTTCTTAGTCTCTCTAGTGCCGGCGGTCCTCTGTCTTTCTAGCAAATAGCAGCCTCCTTGTAGCTGACGCAAAGGAGTCGGAATGCCTGTCCGCTGAAACCACAGGGTAGAACATAGTAGCCTAAGACCCGAAAAGAGGAGATGTAGGTAGCTTAGTTCCCAGGGACATGGCTTGTACCTGCCTGCTGTCCCGCTGACGAAGTGTACAAGAGCGCTGATGCTCGTCTCCGTATTCTGTCACGAAGAAAGAGGATCCGAAGAGCAGGCTTATTGTCCGTCGTCTGGGATTTGGGTGATGTTGTCTAGCATTACCCAAGTGCATCCGCGCCAGAACAGGGCATGACCGCTCCGCGAGAGGGTCCACCTCGGCCGCGAAGCTCCGTCCCAGTCAGATTGTACAGGAGCGTTGGTGCTCGTCTCCGTATTCTGTCATAACGAAAGAGGGTCGAAAGAGCAAGCTCCGTGTCCGTCGTCTGGGATTTGGATAGTGTTTTTCAGTATCACCACGTGCATCTACGCCAGAGCGGTAGACAACAGCAGCACCGCAGGAGAGGTCACCTCGGCCGCAGAGCTTCGTCCCAGTCAGTAAAGGAGAAATTATCCCTGAAGAGTCAATATCTTTGCTTAAAGTAAAAAGACATTAAATCCGGCGAAGGATAGGTCGGCGATAGGAGCAAGCGAGGCTCCCAAGAGATTGGAAAACCTGTCATGTGTAACTGCGCCATAGGAGAGGGGGTAGAGATCGAACAGATTGGCTCTTATGGTAGCCTCGCAGTGAAGCAGCCAGGGTCTGGAGTCCTGTCAAAGGACGCGGGAAAGGAAGACGATACTAAGAGGGACAGAGAGTTGGGACGACTTGTGTATAAGAGTGTGTCGCAAGATGAGGGCGTGAGAGTTCAGAGATCCATGTGAGGAGGAGGAGTTGCGGCGAAGACGAGGTGACCCGTCAGATAGCAGATGGTTGTGCGCAGGGGCGAGGAGAAGAAGACCATCGTGCGCAAAGGAGGAGGGAAGACAGCGTGGTGCCGGAAGCCAGAACGACCAGTATGTCAGGAGAAATCCACGCTTGCACACCTTGAAAAGAGATCAATCTGCTCGGCATAGAGGAGAGATTGCGATCGCAGGCCAAGTATGGGATACAAGAGAGCGAGGCAGCTTGGAAGGCTCTAGAAGACGTCATTGTACCAGAGCGCCGTGTAGTGTACATTCATCCCAACCTCTGCAGCTGTGCGGCGCACTCCCCCTAGTCCTGATCACCGTAGTCGTAGTAGGCGCCGTATTCTTCGTCTTGATCCTGCTCGGGCAACTCGTCTTCGAACTGGTCGTCCTCGGACGACTCCCCTGGGAGCTGATCGTTCTCGACATACTCCGCCCCAAGCCCGTCCATTTCCGAGTCGGTGAGAAAGCAGTCGTCGTTGTCCTGATCTTCTTCCTGCTCGTGCGGCACTGGCCGGACTGGCTGCCCAGCGCGACGCGAAGGTCCTGTTCCACACTCGTCTCCCTCGTTGTCCAGTACCCCGCTTCCGCTCTTGCGTTGCTGCTTCACGGCCTGATGTTGGATCGCACCGTTGATGAAGACCATGACGTTGTCGTGATATGCTTGGTGGAGTTGACGCTGCGCGGACAGGATGGCGTCCATTGCTTGCTGGTAGTTGACGTGGCGGGCAGCGATGCGTGCGTCCTCGAGGTCGTCGAAGAAGGACTGGGGGATCTGGTATCCTTGGAAAGCAGTGGAGACTGGGAGAGCTCTCTACATCGCCCATTAGCTGGACAGAACACGAATTGAGGAGCCACGTACCATGTAGCCCTTGTCGCCAGGACGGAGCAAGTCGGCTGGGTTCTTGATGCTGGTGGAGTTGCTGCGACTGGCGTACTCTTGGGCGGCGCCATCGAGGTGATGTCGGACATGGTGCTTGGCAGCCCGAATTCCGAGGAGTCGCCCGTGCATCTTGGTAGTAGACGGCATGGCGCCTTCGATCTGCTTGCCCTTGTTCATGCTGTCGTTCAGTCGATGGTGCTTCACACTGGTATTGAAAGGGTCGCTGGACGTATGAGTATCACGGAAGTCACTGTCGGGTTGACCCGCGCCCGCATAGAAGATGATCCGAGCGAAGCTGGTCGGTGGACGATGCCGCTACGCCGAGACATGGCGGCGGACCGTGGTGGTGAAGTGATCGGCGAAGGGCTGCGTTTGCGTTGCGGTCATCGTTCCGACTTCCACTGCAAAGGTGGCAGGCTGCAGTATCCAGGTTGCAACTTGCGCTCCATTTCCCGGGATCTGTTACCGTGGAACGCGGAATCGTCGGATGAAGTCTGCGAGTTGCCGCAAAGGCGGAAAGGTAAAGGTCGATGTCGCGGTTACGGTCGCGGTTACGGTCACGTCCGCGTGGAGTGCGCGATGCAACGTGGCAGTGAAGGAGCAGGCTCGGCTCGGCTCGGCAGGACTTGCCCCGCGAAGACCTGATGCCTGCCAAGGCTCGGCTGCCGGGCCTGACAGCCACAGCGGGGGAGAGGGACGGACCGCGCCGCAGCCGCAGCTGACGAGCCGGCCCAAACTCAATGCAGACTCCGCCACTCTTTCTTCGACTTCACCTCGTTGTCCTCACTGCATCCAAACTCTTCAATCACCATCTTCATCTTGAACCGTATACACATTCATACGCCCGTCGGTCATTCCAATATACACTGATACCCGCAAGAGCTTGTCGCCAGGATCTTGAGCGTCTTGGACTGCAGGCGTCAGAGGTGGGAGGTCCATCCCGCCTCCGCGCAGGCTTGTTTCGGCATGTCTCGCTTCGTACTGGAACATCACCGCTACCTCTCTCGGGCAGGAAGCAGTCACAATCAGCTGGTCGGACTCTACTCCCAGAAACTGGAGCAATGAGTGAATTCCCGCCGCCCGAAGCATGATGAAAATCGGCGGGAATACCACCTGCCCGCCACTTCCAGGGAAAATTCTGCGAACCGCTATGTGAGAATGTATTCTGGAACATCCTTTGGAATTCATTATGCGTACAATACTGCCCATGATCTGTGCAGCTCTCCCATTATACCACCAGACTCCTGCCCGGCAGTCCTCGTGATTCCGTTATCTCCACGCAGCAATATCTCGCTGCTGGCTTCGCAAGTTGCTTTGGAGAGGCGGTATCTGCAGTGTTTCGGCTACACCGTTTGCACCAGCCCTTTGGCTTTAGCGGCTCTACTCTCCATCCACCATGTTTTCATAGATGAGCAGGCCATCCTGCGGTGTGCCATGCAGTTGACCGACAAGTCGTAGGTTGCCGCCCACTTGACCGACAACCTAAAGGTTGCCATGCAGTCCACTGACAACTCAAAGGTTAGCGATGGATCCACACAGTAGACTTGAAGAAGCACTTCCCACCTCGATCTGCCCACACTGTTAAATCCTGCATCAATCCCAACCTTCCTAGCGTAGAGTCAGGCTCTCTCGTTTCCTCCAAGCCCTTTCGCCTGAGTATGGCACCATCCTCCAGATATTTGTAGCCACTCCCAGTCATCTCCGACAGCAAATCACCATGGCTGACACCTACACATTGCTCTTCGAAAACCACTGTCCGGCGGTCCACCGCCACGCTGTGAAAGACATCTGCCAGCGTGTCGACAATGCCTTTCAACAACGCAACGTCGAGCTCTCCCCTCCCGGCAATGACCTCTCTACTCCCGGCAATGACCAGTCTGCCCAACTCCTCGAGCTTCTCGTACAAGCCTACGAGGTCATACTGCCTGCAGTTGCGCGGTCTGACCTCCAGCAGTTGGCTCAATCAGGCCTCCAAGGCTTGATCTCCGCCATGCCGATGTGAGTCTGACACGGATTCCAGCTGACGCCTCTCCTAACGTTGCCTAGACCTCCAGAAGATTCCAACCATGGACCTTCTACCCCAGCGCCGGACCGCACGTCCTCGAAGAAGCGCGAAGCTCCCCAAGACCCTCCACCCCCTCCCAAGAAGAAGCACAAGGCAATCGAAGAGCCGATCCTTGTGGAGACTCGACGGAGGAGCCGAGTTGCTTGCGACGCATGCAGGAAGCGCAAGGCCAAATGCCAGAGTCCAGATGGTATGTACGCCCGAATGGTGTGCTGCTTGTTCAAGACTGACCTTTGCAGGGCCCGGTGAATGTCAGGCATGCATCTACTACGGCACAACCTGCAATCAGCCTTGGAAAGACTTGGCAAATCCGACCCTGCCTCTCTACTCCATGTCTGCTGCTGGCTTCAACCACGTCGACGCCCCCTTCTTCTCGCAGAACTTTGCTCCGCCGCCTGACATGCCAGTCTTTCATCCGATGATGGCAATGCATTCAGGCTTTCAAATGGGGATGCCGATGAATCCAAGCCTTCCATTCGGTATGTCGGACGGCCGCATGTACCAGTTCAACGCAGGAACGACGTCCTCGGCCAGCCCGCGCCAAGGTCAGAAATCTGGATATCCGAACGCGGTCACGAGCCAGATGCCGGCCCAAAACGAGCCTTTCATGCCATCCCAACGCTCCTACGACAACGCAAACTTGGCCCCGTTCCAGGACCAGAGCTCTGCATATCCAAATGGAGTCTCGAACCAGGTGCCGTTCCAAAACGGATACTCCCTGCCACAGCCACAGTCCTACGAGTTTGGAGCCTTCGCAAACGGCAACGAGCCAACAGCCCTGACTGCCAAAGCTGTTTCCAACAGCAGTGTACTGTGTCATCGCAACGCAGGCCTTGACCGGACGGTCTCGCAGGACCGTGGAGAGTCTCGGAACAGTCACCTACTGCCTGCACCGCATGTCGACGGAACCGGCCGCCCTTCAACTGCTGAGAACACCACGACTATGCACGCTGGTGATCAACACAGTGCTGCTGAGGCCCACAAGGAGGGAGATGCGCCAGGTCGTCTAGTCATCGATCTCACCGAGTCTCCCATTAGTACAGTCGATCATGAACACGGCCCTGTGTCCCCCAACAACACTACGCAGTACGCAGGAAACCAGACTCATACTTCCATTGCTCCTCCAATCACTTCGAAACACCAAAGTGATCACATAGAGCCGCCTGCCTGGACCGACTTCATCGCCGCTGGCTCAGTCGATCCCTCACCCGTCGTGGCCCCTGAAGACCACTTCGAGCTCGCAATGTCGTCGGGCATCAGCGATGAGGTACCTCCTGGTCTCGACACCTCATCCACCATGCCGCACAGCAGCAGCATTACCATCTCTGACATCGACCATTTTGCTGGAATCGGCCATCCCAATGACAGCGGCTCCGGTTTCGGCTCCGGCACCTCCGCCGCGCTTGCTGAGAACGCTATGATCTCCCTCGCCTTCCCCGAACCAGTCTGGCCGCCTCCAGCCATGTCCTCGAACGATGAAGGAGGGGGAAACCTTCCTGCCGGTGGGCAGCCTCACTTGACCGCACCATGGACCATTGACGATACCGACATCGTCTTAGGACAAGTTGAGCTTCTCGAGACCACCGATGATGAATTCTCGGACGACGAGGAAGACGAAGACGAAGCAGAGGAAGGAGGAGAGCCATCTGATTCTCTTCTCGCCACCGCTGGCTCCACTGCAGTCGAGAACCTTCACGAAGATGAAGCCGTCGAACAGACCAAATCCAATGGATACGACGACGGCGGCGAATGGCCTTTCGACGACCTCTTCGACGTGGGAGACAAACCCAATGGATTTGACGTCACCGAATGGCCTTTCGATGACCTCTTCGATGTGGGAAATGCCGCGAGTTGATTGATTGTACTTACTCCCTGGACGACTTCGTCCTACATCCAGTGCGGTGACTGGATTGCGAATTTGGACCACTCTGGACTTTGCCAAGATTCAAGCAGAACGACAACGAGATTGACGTTGACGAATGACGGAAAGGGAAGGGATATGACTTGCTCTTGGTACTGATGACGAGAAGAAGAATAAATTGGACGAATGATAGGAAGGGCATACGACTTGGTACTAACGACGGGAAGAAGAACAAGTGGACGAAGGAGGGCAGGGCATATGACTTGGTATTAACGACGGCCGATACATAATAAGATGTAACGATTGGAAGGAAGAAACGAAACGAAGCAAAGATCTAGAATGTAACATGGCAAATACCTCGGCCCTCTGGCAAAAGGGGAAGAATCGCACTTCACTTACTATTTGGTATTTCTTCGTCTCTCTTCCTGTCGTAGCGTCGGGATGCTTACCCGACGTACGAACTCTTCCCTCTTCCTTATCGAATTGATCGAGAAGCCCGGAACCTCTGGATCAAGGTAGGCCTCGCTGCCGACTACACTGTAGCGGACTCACATTGCCACAGTCCGAATACAAATCTTTCTCTTAGCTAGGGTCAGAGCAACCAGAGGAAATCCACCGCAGCGGGAGGGCAATGTAGAGATGAAAAGGCCTACGGTCTGATATAGAGCTAGGGCCCGCAAGATCTAGAATGTCCTACAAATAATTAACTATATAAATAAATTCGCAGAAAAAGACTCTAAAGGGTAGTCCCGAATCCCGATTTACCTTCCCTTTACTACCATAGGAACTACACGAGGGATATAATAAGGTTAGGCGTAGATATAGTATAATGCCTAGATTCAGGATATCTTAATTTTTAGCCCGTTACTATCCATCTGTTTACGTAGGTATTAATAAGGTTCTTCCCCGAGGACGGATCTTCCAGAACTGAGAAATCGGCCCTCGGCGACGTCTCTCGTAGGTATTATAATTCTAGATCCAAGGCTGTCTGTCTGTCGTGCTGCTTCCGCTTATTCTTCCTTCGTACAGACGAACGCTGTCTGTGGTTTGGTCAAGTAGCTGAGGCAAGCCGTAGGAAATATCTATATTGTATCTGCTCTTACGTCTGCCACCCCCCGTGGATATGCTACGCCGGTAATGTAGATTCCCTTCGGAAAGGACGGAGTTCGCCTTTGCCTAATAGTAAAACCATCGGGAACGAAGCTATAGTAGCGATCCCGCGAGATGGACTGTAGGTCCTCTCGGCTGAGACTGTCGAGATTCGAGCGAATAGCAAGAGAAGAGAAGAGCCTGATTGGATCAGACGGAGCATTATCTTGTAACCAGTGCCTGCGTAAGCCGCAATGCAACGAGCATCTATCGTGTACGAGAGGCACACTGCTCTAGCGAAGATTGAAGCTCATAAACGAATTGCGTCTGATTCTAGTCGATCTCATTCTAGTTCAGATACCATATATTCGTCCATCAATCCAAAAGAGTGTCTAATCGTCCCTCCAAATGTCCCGTTCCATCCCTAGCTAGCATTCATCCCTATTCCCCAAAGCAAGAAAGAGTAAGCTCAAGAGTCAAGCCCTGTGAACATACCCACTCGCTCGCTCGCTAAGACAGCATAACAAGTCGAACAAAGTCGGGCTTGTAGAGCGAGAGAGCAAGGAGCAGCAAGCAAGGCGAGCAGAAGCGGGCCGGGTATAATTGTTGAAAAGGAATGATTCAATCATACCCGTGCACCGCCAAAGAAAAAAGAACTCCAAAGATCGAGAGAGACCAGCGCAGTCTGACCGTGTCCATCGCAGGTGGGTTTCAGAGCTCTTCCTCTTGAGACTCCACTTCCTCCTCCTGCTTGATGTTGACCTGATCTTCCTCCTCCCGGTTAACGGTCCCATTGTGGGATTCGTCGCCACTGTCGTCACCACCAGCGAGGACCTGGACGTCGCTAGTCTCGTACTGGTACTGGTACTTATCCTGATCCTGGCAATGGTCGAAGCATTCCTGATCGGCCTGCTGACAAGACTCATAGTACTGCTTCTCCCCTTCAATAGCCTCTTCTCCCACCTTGACGACAAAGCCACTCGCTTTTCCCAGCAAGACGACCGAGCGGAGGTATTCGCCCGCCTGGAACTCTTGCATGATCTCGAGGAGGAGGTTGTTGAGCGTGTCTGTGGCTGCTGAGGTGGAGGATGAGGAGGATGCCATGGTATTGAGATCGTTGGTGTTGTTGTTGTCCATGATGGCAAGTGGTGGTGGATTGGCAGTGCACTCGCCACGGTCAGAGATGTAGGACATTGTGAGGTCTCCTTCCCCATTGCTGGAATCGATATGATTTGGATCGGAGAAGGTAGGACCGTCGTTGGAGTAGGACGGAGTGTTGACATTGTCCTGAGCGTGGCCTTGGGTGATCACCTTCTTCTGGGCGGATGGCTTGGTCTGAGCGTTGCCTTTGATGACGAGCTTCTTCTGGGCAATTGGCTTGACCTGGGCATTCCCGTGGACCATGGCCTTCTTCTGGATGACCGAGTGGACCTTGGCCTGAGCAATGCCTTGAACCGTACGCTTCCTCTGAACGACCGGCACGCCATGGCTCACATCCTGAACCTGAGAATTTCCATCCTCAGCTCCCGCAACAGCGCCCTCCCCCTCGTCGTCCGTATCCTCCACAATCACCCTCCAAAGCCCCACTGCCTCCGCAACCAGCTTCTTCACGCCCACCTTCTTCCCCTCCTTCGGCTTCAACACGACACAGTGACGCTGCAAGTACGCCATGAAATTCTTCATGCGACGGGAGACTTCGCTCTCGTCGACTGCGTCTTGGTCGTCGTCGGAGGGGAAGATGATGGGGGAGAGGAGGAGGAAGAGTTCGCAGAAGTGGGAGGCGTCGAGCTCCGTGAGGTCGCTAATGGGGTTGGCTTGGAAGTAGTTGTCGATCATGGGGATGCCCGGGGTGTAGTTGGCGCGGGTAGCGCGGGTTGGAGTTGGGGCCGTCATTGCGATTGCGTGGGTTTGGTGTGGCTTGTTCTGAGGGTGGGAATGAGTGAGAGCGGTGGTAGGTTTGCGTCGTCTGAGAGATTTTGTGCCTTCGATTGTCGTTGTAGGAGTGTCAAAGTTGAAAGAGCTTGACAAGCAACTCTCCAATTTGTCACCACGTGAGGAATAGGTAGAGGACCACAAGAACAAGAACCAGATCGACAAGGCTCATATGCGTATAAGCAAAGGTTTGATTGGCAGGATTGGCGTTCGACTGTAGAGAGACCGGCAACGAGTCCGGGAAGATTACCGCCGATGAAATGAATACCGCCGCCGAAAGACGCACATACCGCTGCGCCAGACCGTGAATGATGCCGGTAAGATAGAACCGCAGAAGGGCTGCCTTTCCAGCCGGAAATTTGTCTCAGATACCGGCGGCGAAGATTTCGAACAAAGACCATTCGGCTCTCGCGGCGGCAACGAATGCGAATCCCGTATCATTTTTGACGAGGACGTTGCGCATGCCCACTTGCCGGAGACTGCAGGCGAAATGTCGGAGAGGTGAGAGGTGCAAGCCGCGGTTGTGAGGTAGAGATAGTCTTTGTGTTTCAGCTTCATGTCTCGGAACGGCGCTGCAGGCAGAAGTCGTAAGTTCGACGTTAGAATCATTGGCCAGAAGCAAGGCTTTGACGGCCCGCAGGAGAATGAAGAATTTATCACCGTTTCCTAATTCGTGCCAGCAAAGATCGTGCCAAGTCTTTCCTGAAAGAGCACGAATAATACTTGCATGTAATTGTTAATCTTGTCACATGCTTTCGTGTCTCAGGCTCGCATGAACAAAGTCTCGACTTGCGGTAGGTTATTGCTATGGCTGGACATTAGTCTTTGCTATCCGTTAGTGTGTTAATACATAGTTGGGTATCTTACTTTTCTGGATAGCAATTAGCTTGGCAATCTGCTTGATATGCGTGGAATCAGCCACGGGTGCTCGTCTACGCAGATTAAATTAACGTCGCTCAAGCAAGTTAGGTAAGAGGCGAAGCGCTCCGGTGATAATGTCTCGCCGGATGGCAGCTTGGGTTTGTGCGTTAGCGAGCTCTGTTTTGGTAGGACAGGAAGCAGAAATAGCGCAAATCGGACTTCGTGCACAAAGTCGGTAGGATGAAGAGAGAACCGTCGAGAGAGAAAGCACCCTTCCTTCGTAACGCGATGACCTTCCAGAGGACTGAGATGTGAGCTGCAGTCTCCCCTTAGGTCTGCCCTGGCGGTAAAAGGTGTTTACAGGATACATCGAAGACGTAAAAGTAGTACGGGATCAGAAGGCCGACCATTCTGGAGGCGGAGTAGGTCAGACAAGCGCGAAAGCGTCCCTGAAGTGCTAGGTGTTGCCGTGAAGCGTGCTGTATGGAAGCCAGAGAGGAAGCATGGTATGGTGTATCTTGGCACGATCCGCATCGGTAGTGTCGGCATCCACACATCAATTGAATTTTGGACATCTGCTGTGCTGTCGCTGTGGACTGACTCGCCGACAAGGTCTACGCATCTTCCTTCTCTCTTCACTGATAGGTTCCTCCACACCCCTGAATGACACTCAAGCTCTGCTGCAATACTTACAGCCCTGCTCTAACAAAGCCCTTGTAACATGTTCTCCCGCTAAGTCCTCCTATCGACGGCTCGGCTCGTTCGTTGTATGCTTGCATCTTGTCGATCCGAGCCTGGAAGACGAGAATCCAGTGCGTTAATGTAGGCATTGCTTCTTCTAGCAGAAATCTGAAAACGAGCTGGCTGCTAGTCTGCTTGACGGAGGCCGGATGCTAGCGAGAAGTTTCCCCCCTTTCCGAACTGCACCCGATCTCGCCGTCGTGTCTGTCCCACTCTCTTGTCACGAAGCTCAAGATCTGAGGACCTTGTCCGGACATGCGTCCGCAGGTGCCCTTCGCGACTCCTACTTGTTGCAGTTAGAAGCCTCCATACCCCTGATCTCCACCACTTTGTCCCACTTCCACTTTGTCAATATGCGTGACTCGCATTGTGAGGGCTGGTGTAATGTTGCTTTCTTAGGCTACACTTGGCAACGTGCAAGAAAGCTGCCAGCGCTCATTCGGATCGCGTGGTTTCATGAGGGAAAGCTCCTTGAGGTTTCGCGGAGCATCGTCTCTCAATGTGGATCTTGGTCCAAGTCTCTCCGCATTGACGTCCCGCTCGCTCAAGTTCGCAAGTCGCATCGATTTGGGGAGGAGTAGACAGGGCTTCGCGTCGGGTCGTGTGGATTGACTTGCTTCGGATCCATTGGTCGAGCAAAGGCTGCAGAGGCTACAGCAGAAGCTGCAGAACTGCAGAGGACACCGACCGTCCGTATTGACCACTGTCTAGAGGGCGCTTCGCCGCTTCCATATCTTTCCCTTTGCTAGCAATATCTTTTCGCGTCGCTTTCTCCTCCGCTATACTCCTCAGGTCTTGCCGCCGATCGAGAGTGCTGTCGATTGAGAGGGCGAGAGGGCGAGAGGGCGAAAAAGCGAGCGTCACGAGATGACATCGCTCTCCTCGGGCGCAGTACAGAGTCGTTCTGTCAGGGATCGTGAAATCGAGATGAGTTGATTCAGTCAAGTTGACTTGACTGAGTGAAGTGCGATATAGAATTTGCAGTCGGGCCTCAGCCTCGGACTCGGAGGAACGATGTGCCGATAGCGGACTTCATCTCGTCGGCCATCATCCTGAAGCCATCGCATATACATTAACATAAACATATTGCACTCGAATGGACATCTCCAAAATGGCTCTCGATATCGATACGGGAAACAACATATCACGTTACCAGCGCTAGCGTTAGCGCCAGCGAGGAGCGGGAGCGGGAGCGCTCAGCGGGAGCGGGTATCTACTAGAATTGATTCAATTGAATTCCTGAGATTCTGAGGGATAATAATGTTCACTCTGGGTCTTCCTTACATACCACAACGGACGACCTCTTTAGACGGAAAAGTCCTATCTCTCGAGACTGGGACCAGATTACTAAGATGGAATGGCGACTCTTACCTTCTAGTCTCCCAGTTGGACGCTTTACGGTACATCTAACTATCTGAGGGCTCTCGGCCACTATAGCATCGCCTCCTGTGGTGCCAGTGCCCGGGGTACAGCCTTTCGATCGACGAAGACGAGAGCTTATCGCGCATATTAACATCATGTGCTGCACCTTTCTACTCCGGACGTTTGTAGATACTGTGGCTGAAGATTAACTAGTCGGTCGGGCTGGGGTATTGACACAGGAGGTCATCCGAGACGTTTCGGTAAGTATCTCCTCTCGTGACAGTGATCTCGATATATATGGACATTATCTCTAGGACGCAGAATGGGTTAGGTCCTTCTGCTCCTTCAAAAGCATAGACCTGTCCTCTATACCTACGGCCTCACGCTCGCCCGGGATGGTCTGCCAATTGCCTCCTCCGGCAGTCTTATTAAAGGTGCAAAGTCCTTGGTATTTGCCTCTTGCGCCTCTTGGACCTGTCGCTTCAGTTCGTCGTCCTCGTCACTGCCGCTGTTATTATCATCATTTAGGTCGACAGTCTGAGCTAATTATACTGCTCGACAGCCTGACAGGTTAAGGAAAGGTCAGAAGCGTCGCGAACTGCAGCTTACGAGCAGAGCGGGAACCGTACAGGAGAAGCTTCGTTCAGTAGACTGTAGTATGCTAGCCGTTGGTAGCGAGTGATATCCGTAGACATATCCGCTATGCCGTAGTTACCTCCGGAGTGTGGGTGTGTAGGTGTGTAGGTGTGCTACCCTTCCGTGTGTACGCTTCGCAAATGAGATTGCTCAGAGCGTTGGTGTGCCAAGCTGGAGGGTGAGGGAGTGTGTCTACTAATGTCCATTCTTTTTGCTTATGTCCATTTTTCTACCCGTGTCCAATTCACCGGTATCCAGGCTGCTAATCCTCATTCTGCCGATCTCCGTCGATTTTCCTACTATAGTTGTTCCTACTACTGTCCCCTCACACAGCCTTTCACAAAATTGCAGCCTTAGATCCCGTCCCGTAACACATGGTAGAACCGCTCAACTTCCGATCGAAGCAAGTCGTAGATCCTCGAAATCTTTCGCTCCAATCGTCCCGCGTATCGCACCGCGGTACTTGCGGCTGTATTGTCTGTGGCTCTCCCCATTGCCTGTTTCTCGAAAGCCGCGATATTAATCTTTCCGGTTATTACTCCTGCTAACATCCTTCTTACCTACCCCTCTGTCTACGTTGCGGGCTCTTGTACAGTCAATCCAACGTGCTGAGGCGCATGGCGATGTAGCGATCTCGAGTAATATTAAGCGGAGTTTCAGCCGCGGAGGAGGAAGATTAGTGATACGGACGAGGCGCTCGGGTTTCGGTAGACTGAGGGCGAGTGCGAGGGATTGCCAACCATAGGGATCATGGTAACGTAAATCTTCCCCCAATCCTTCTCCTTTAGATCCAGTATGAATTGCGAATTGAGATGATCGTACCATCTGTTTTCGCTCCTTCGGTCGGATAGACAGGTAATGGTGTTCGATCGTGCGAGCGGATCGGGAAGGCGGCTATCTAGGAGATTTGGAAATTGGCAGTACTGCGTTGTCTGATAGATGCGAGCGTCGATTGTTAAAGAGGGATACGATAATGTCGGGATGGAAGAGGTTATCTGCGTTGAGACTCCAAAGTCAATCCCTATAAGCCCGTCAGGCTAAACCTCCTTCCACGCCAATCTCGTCGCCAAGATTTGAAACGGCTGAACCCTCCTCAGTCTGTCGTCCATCGTTCGATATATCATATCATATTCCTGCCCGGCGCCGAGTGTGCGAAGCCGCGGCGTCTGGCGGCGAAGGACAACGTGTGCAACGCAGAGCATATAACCATCTTCGCGTCTGTCCACGAGCCGAGACCTTCGCCACGTAACAGAGCGCTTTCCTCGTCCTTCTCGTATTGCGGTATTAGTCTCTACTAGATATCGAAATGATAGACGGCGTTAGAGTATTGTCAATGGTGGGAAGCCATCTTCAGAGGCTGCCATAGCAGCTATAGCCTATCATCCACTTCTTTCACAGCTTCGAAGCTATCACTCCAGGACAGATTCTCATACCTATAGCCTGATACTGTTTAACTCGACTGGTATGGTGCGGTCGCCTCAGTGCCCGCAGTCGGCTTCATTCTTGCTCGTACGAATGCTGGCTCCACGAGACTACAGCAATGGGGGTGCGAGCTGCTGCCGATGCTCGTGCTGGAAGAAGGTATATCTCCAGTGCCGCTTTGTCAAGCTTCGCTGCTCGACTCGTGAAAGGAGGGGAGACATTGGGCGGCAGTCTTTCAAGAAGGCGAAGTCAGCTGGCTAATGCTTGAGGCTTCATGGGCCACGGATCTTGGTCGTCTCTCTTCCCCGCGAGAAGGCGCCAGTAGTGGGAGCCAAGACCGGTGTCCTGCAATGGCAGCGAATAGCAGGGGCCGGAGACGAAAAGACAAGAGCATCAGTTGCCCTTGATTTCAGTGAAGCCTGTACGTATCTCAGTATCCGCACTAGTCGAGCAACATGTCTCCGCAATCTCCTTCACAAATTACAATGGTAGTAGCTGGTATCAATACAACACAGAAAACGCCTCACCCACGAGACCACAAAGGCTTGTTGCAGGTATGTCGGTACATTCAGTCCAAGTCTCGTCCGCCACACCCCTAATCACTCCACGAGGATGACCTTCCTCGAGCCAGCCCAAGCTTGTTGGCTGTACAGTACGTTAGCAAACGTAGCAGTGGGTGCAGAGCAATAAGGACTTACCAATTGAGACACTTCCGTGGACGGTTGTTCGCGCGATCATAGTCGTGCTGTCGGGCTCGGCACTGAGTGTGAATCACGAACCCACACTTACGGCAGACCTCTTCCGGCTCAGAAGTGACGCCAAGCGACTCCAGGCAGACAGGGCATTCACGCGGCGTCTCGGGGGAGCGAGGAGCCGTGACCTCTGCATTGAGCCCAGCCGCGGGTGTCGTGGCCGTCTGAATATTGCCGGCGAGGAACTTTGGCGGACCTGAAACTGCGCTTGGCGATGCTGCATTCAGAAGGGCGAGTGCGGTGTACAGCGTCTGATGCGTACTGTTCAGAATTCCATTCGCCCTCGCGGCATCCAGTACGGCAGTGACCTCCGCAGGGCTTCTTCGACTGGCACGGGCCTGAGTGTTTGCAGAACCTGGAATCCCATTAAGCGAGCCTGCGCGAGAACGTGCAAGGTAAGTAGAGAGCAGCTGTTGGACGTCGTTGAGGACTTTGTTCCCTTCGGCGATGTGTGCCCGCTTCTTATCCGGTTCAGCCTTCCCTTCCTCTCCAGCGGCAATGCCAGTATCCTTGGTGTCCAGCAGCATCTCGTCTGTGGAATTCTGTCTAGCGGCATTGTCCTTAATCATTCCAGCTTGGGCGTCTGCTGCTGCTCCCACGGTCTCGGTGTCGTTGGCCGGTCTAGGACGAAGCCTTATTTGATGATGGGACTCGTTAAACATCTGCACTTGTCGTTTGTGCGCCAAATACTCCTCGCGAGTGATCTCCCCGCCGAAATCGACGTACGGGATGCCGATGTACGCGAATGGCGGCGGAGATGTGCCTGCATGCTCGACTTCCTCGTCAATGTCTTCATCATCGGCTTGCTCGTTGTGTACATTGCGTCTGCTCTTGCTCCTCTCCCTCGCCGCTGCTTTGTGCGGAGTCGGTGCTGCTGTCTTCTCGGGCTTCGTGATGCGGCCGGAGTTCGTGCTGCGCAAACGCGAGGTGGTGTTGGTGTCGCCGGGGTTGGTCTCGCCGTACTTGGCCTCGCCAGCTTTGGTGTCGCCAGACTTGCCACGACGCGGAAAACTGCCCTTGGCCATGGCGAGGAGTGCGGTGGATGTCGTTTGCGTGAAAGAGCAAGGGTGTGTTGGGCGTCCTGTTGGACGTCTGGAAGGGATGGGGGATGATCCGCGAGGTGCGCGCTCGCGTGTCGCTGACAAGTTGGCAATCTCGCGGCTGCGCAGGGCGATTTGGCGAAGTCTGCTCTCGTAAAAATGTCTGTGATGAGTGTTGTGATGCCAATAGAGTGAGGGAGAAAGGTGACGTCTGGAACGCAAACGGAGGGCGGGAAGTCGAACCGATCTTGGCGGTTTCAGCGTCGAACCCGGGAGCCAATGCTCGGCGGCGGCCGCTACGGCAGCGACGGCGGCAGCAGAACAATCTTGTAACTGTATGTTGCCTTTCATGTCGTACGTTTACCGGTGTGAAATATGAGCGGGCCGGGCAAAGTTGCAGACTCGTGGAAGCTGTCCATGGCATTGCTATCGCGCCATCGATGGCGGATTTGTAGTCGACCGGTCCACTGAGATTCCATCCTAACAAGGCGTGAGAGGTGCAATGCGGATGGAGGGCAGTGAATGTGTTGGTGATAATAAGAGTCGATGGAGTTTCCAAGACCAATTCGAGATTCCGTGAGATGCGGGGTCTGCCCTGCCAAGCCTTACGTAACTGCCTCGTGCCTGAGGCGTCACCCGGCCGACTTCAACCCGGGCAACTTCACCTCTGACACAGAAGGAGACAGAAGCTGTAGAAAGCGTAGGCTGATAATACTTCTACGGTATATGGGCGGCATACAGGATGAAATCGGAGAGATCTCGATAAGAGCATGCGATGATCGTTGCGAAGCACCCACAGGGAAAGAAGTGAGAAGAGGTCAACTCAAAGTTGAAGTTCCTCGACCTGTCGCCTCGATTCATCCCCATTCACTCACGACAGATCACGTGCCTTCACATGCTCTAGCTTCGAGATTTGTCCGACATCAAGAAACACGAGAGTTCTGAGTGTGCACAAATCCTGGCACATATCGCAGACTCGCAATCTCTGTTATCGGTCAAGCCAACCGGTCTCTTTCGTTGCGAAATCTCTGTACACAATAATACTAATATCCGCACGGAGATGCCAAATGGAGCATGGATGCTCTTCGATCTCATTCGTCGACGATGCACTGTGGTGTCTCCTATATGAACTACAAATGTTGAAATATTCGAGCAGCGCACTTAAGACTGTAACCCATCTCTCCTTAACAGGCACCACGTCCAGAGACCGCACACTGGATTAAAGCAGAAGCGGCGCCGACACGGCTTCTCCTCCTAGATAGCAGTATCTCCGCAACCTTTCGTTAACGTTGGATCATTTGGCGACTCTCCGCACTCGACGTCACCCGTGTGTCTCGATCGCCCACGGGCCTCCATTGTCAAAGCTCGGCTACATTCGGAACCAAATGATTCAGGTCGCATTCGAGTTCGAAGGAGTGAACGGAACATTGCAAAGCGCGAGATTGTCGTACAAGCAGAACCCAAAACCTTTCTTATATTGTTCTTGGCGTGGAATGGGTCCCTGACCTGTCAAAATGAACTTGTTCCAGCATCGACTCCGTATCTAAATCGTGGATGGGGATGGAACGCGGCTCAAGTAGAGAAATCACGCAGGCACTAAGCATGCCTCGGGTACCACTCACGGCTGCTGTCATCTCGAGAGCCATCGCAGGCCCGGCGGACCGGCACATCTAAACTTTCCTTTGTTTTTTCTGTGTGGTCGACGTGGTGAAAATCAACGAGGCTGTACTTCTCTTTTGCTCTGCGCAACCCGTCACTACCGCCGCACTGCCTAGTCTCTCCCGCCCAAGACTTATGATCCTAACCAAGATCTATCTCAGCTAGGCAACATAAGATCCCGGGAGGAATCATAATTGTACGCCAGGTCGGCCATTTTCCAAATGCGCTCAATCCCATGGCTCTAAGCGATCTCTCAGGTTGAGGTCGTAGTCCAGATTCGTCCCAGCTATGCTATCCAGGATCTCGAGAGATCCTACCCAACGTCGGGCTTGTCTCAAACCCGCTTACAAGACTTTCTCTCTTGCGACAGCGATCGAGATGCCACAAGCACTGAAGCTAAGGATAACAAATATCTTGGACATGAGTTCTCTTCGGTGGTCGTTATTGTAGACTCGGCGGCAGACGAAAAGGCTTCCTCCTAAACTTCGATCCTTGTAGTGAGTCTATCTAGGTTAACTTCAATTGCAGTCCTGCAATCATGGCAACAACCAAGACGCCCAGGCACTGGTCTCAGCCTTCCTCTGTGTTGATCGTCGTTATGACCAATTCCTCCACCGAGCCTGCTCTCTTCCTTGACGTCCCTGTCTACCAATCCATCTAAGAAGCGCTTGTCTTTCTTACAACTCCTTCTCGTTCTCGGCTGAATTATGTACGAATCCTTCTCGCTTTCTCACAAGCCTCTCACATCGCCGCCCATGCCCTTTGCCCTGGTCACTGGTATCCAGAATATCGCCCCAATCCGGTCGAATACCCAGTTCCTGTTCGTCGTCGTCATCGTAGAGACGCCACTCGACACCTCGAAGCTCTCTCGCGGGCCCAAAGATCAATTCCTCCTCCCAACCACTTCGATCAGTTCGGCGATCTAGCAAGTGCTCAGAAGCATACTGACAAGCCGCCGTCCTGCCACCTCGGATTCCCGCGGTCCGCAAATCTCTCTGCAAGGTCTCCACCTGCTCCCTGCCATAGGTGTTTGATTGCGATTCGATGAAGGTCCTCGCTACCTCGGGCTCCATGCCAGATGCTGCCAGGTACCCCATTTGGTCCCGCAGCCATTGGTCCAGTGCGTGATTGTATCGTTCCAGAGTCCCAGTCTTACCCGGAGAGATTGCGACGACCTGTTGATGGGTGATGTAGGATGCCATTCGGTAGAACTCACAGAAGGCCAGGTTTTGAATCGTTTTGTTGAGAAACAAGGCAATTTTATTAGAGAGAGCCGCGTCGTGGCCAAGAAATGAATTGAGCCAGCTGTAGAGTGACGCGAAGTCTCTCCTCCCTCTCTCTTCATCCAAGATAATCTCCAGATTCCGCTCTTGGGCTGCAGAAAACGCCTTAACGTCTTGATCGAACTTGTCAAAAATTCGCTCAATGTTCAAGCTCACAGATACCTTTCCCTTTGCAGCCGCGATTTCTCGCAGGAACAAATGAATGTCGGAGGTAGCTGTTTCCTGTACTTCGCCAATATTATCAACTCCCTCAGCGCCCGCTTTCTCCCCCAAGACCTCTAGAGAGCCACTGTCCGCATCCAGCCGAGCAAACTCCCACTGCAGCCCAGTGACCAGATCCTCGACCGCAGCTCGCAATCCGATCAGGCCTTTGTCATTGACCGTCCCGTTGATGTATAGGATAGGCGGATCGCGCAGCCAACGTAGGGGTTGCGAAGGAATGTGCCAGGCCAGCTTTCGCAGGGGAAGAAGATTGGCGTCGCTTCGAGAAGCAGACGACAGAAGTGCGATGCAAGTGATAAAGAGAATGAGATTCATGATGTTCGTCAATGCATTTGTACGGGCAAGATGGATGCGGTGGTGTGCACGATGGAAGATGGCAAACGGCGAAAGCAGATGGAAGGAGGTGTGGCGGAATGTAGCTCCGCGCCACGTGGCAACCCCAGACTACGCTAGCATGTGGCAGTGGAGAACGATCTCCAGATTCTCCACAACCTTATCTGTCCTCCGAGAGGTATGGAGATCGAGATCTGATAACAATTAATTATCGAGATGCGGATGGTCTGCCAGAGTCTGCTGGATTGAAGAACTTTTTGAGATATCTCCAGAGTTTCCATTCATCTCCGACCGGCACCTTCAACACTCTCACCCCGTGACCCCTACCAAGACTCTGCAATTCGATTCTGGAAGAGGCCCTGACTTTTTAATTTTCCCTTTACCGCAATCCCGTGGCAACCGAGCAGGATACAACAGGTTCAACCCTTATCACGTCGGAGAAGAAGCCATTTCTACCGAGTTTGCTAGCGATATGTTGACAAACAGCCTACCACGATGGCAGCTTAGGAGCGGCCACGGTTTCTTCGAGGTCCAACAGCATTAGGGACGGTTTGAACACCGTGGCGAACAAGGGAAGCGGTCTTGACCAGCGACACGCAAGCCAATCTGGCGACAGTCATGAAGCCCCCATTTTCCGTACTCGCTTAAGAGTCATATCGAACACGAGACATCAATACCCACATGCGAACGATGATTTGGTATTCGACGAGCATGGTCAGAGTCCCGGAACGGACGACCATACTCGCGGCTCGGCGCGATCAGAACATGCCAAAATCGTCTGTGGTCTCTTTAGATCGATTCTAGAGCATGCAGTTGAAGCTGTCAACTCCTCGGAAAGCTCCACACGCTCGCACTCGACTAATCTGAAATCGTGATCTACTAATTGTGATTTCCCGACCTGGGCATACGGGACTCTGTGAGCCACCACACAGCTTTTCTAAGTCCTAGGTATACCCGATCGTACGGGATACAGGTGTGTCGAAAGAGTTCCTTACAGAAGCCTTTATGTCGCCTCTGTGGGACAAAGGCATTGTTCTTTCTTTCTGGAATGTGGCTCACTTACACCTATCCTTCCGGCGGTCTGATTGATTAATTGCTTTGTAAAAAGAAAATATTGGAATGATAGTTTGGACATAGCTGGTTGCTGTTCCCGTGTCCGTATTAGTGATAAGAGCATGCCAGCCGCTAAAAAGCAGATATATTTCCTAATATTGGCGGCCAGAAGCGCTATATTTTGCTTCTCGTATGTCCGCCTACTGCTAGAGAAGTCCCCGTAGAATTAAAATGGACGGTATGTAGCAGTCCTCGCGAGGGGCTTGGCTCGTGTTCTTTTCCCGACCTGCTCGGACGCTCTCTTCTTCTTTGCATACAGAATGGCCGATTACGTGCCGCGAGCTTCCGTACGAGACCGCATGTGTCTACGCTAAACGGACTTAGCTCTTACATGATTCAAAGACTGTCTGATCTTGTCGCGGGAAAAGCGTTGCTACGAGGTACGGGAGCGAGGCGGTAAAACGACTATTAAGGGTGTCCAATCGGCAAGATTAATGGCCGCCAGTCGGCGCATTCGACTAGATTGTAGGGTTACGTAAGATCGATTGAAGCGTTCCAACCTCCTAGACTAGTTAGGGTTGTTTAGTGGTGGCGACAGCCTAGCTTCTCGAAGGTCGGTCGACCAAATATTCCTGCTTCTACAGCAGCCCTGCAATATCTGCATACAAATCGTAGACAACAACAATGCGGTAGGAGATGAGTCCCTTGTTTAAAAGATATTTGTCGAAGTAACGAAGACCTTTTGAACGAGGCTAAGGAAGCTGCTTTGTCTTAGAGTCATTGCCATTACGGGTGTATTTGCGAAACGAGAAGTGGTCTCTATAGTTATGACTCGGTGATCGGGACCGGCCACAGACGGAGACCTAAGGTATATGGTATATCATCGAGAGAGAGAGAGAAGATTCCAGTCACGAGCCTTGTGTCTGTCTGCTTTAAGGAAGCAAGAATTCCGTTCCCGGCCAGAAGTTTTGTAAGAGTGGGAGATCAATGTCACAATGCAGCCTCAGCCGTTCCTTTGAGACAGACAACCAGCTTTTCCGCGGCATTCCGCCGCTGTACTAGAGCTTTCTCGAAGCAGCTAGATTCATCCAGATCGATCCCCATCAAATAAGCGTCCTCGTGTCCAGCACATGTCACCAGTCTCTTCTCTGCGTGGGTTCTGCGATTGGGGTCGTCTCGCCTGGCCTCGTTTCCAATGTCTTGTGAGGGTCTCCCCGTCAAGTCACGATGCTCGAACACTTGATTCTGCGAACCTGCGGGATCTTCACGTCGTCTTGGCCTCCTGTGTGTTTTGGACACGCTTCTTTCGATAGCGGAAATGCGGAACGGCTTGGCGGAATGGCGCAAAGAAGCCGTCGCTTGCTCTCGGGAGCAGACAGTGGAGGATTGGAGATCGGCAACTGTGACATTGGCGCTTTACGATTGAGAGGGCTCGTGTGACATTGGGCGGCGTCCGACATGGGAAGAAGGTTCCATGTCGCAAAGGACCGGAGAATCAGCATCTCTGGCTTTTGGCCAGCTCCAACGCTCACGGTTTAGCGATCCAACACCTTGGCGAGTTCGGAAGGGGCCTTGTGCGATGAGCCAAAAATGTACCGGAGAATGAACGTCGCTAGACAGTATCATGTCAATTCGGAAGATACGCTCCGGCGTCTGATGAACGAATAGCGCCGTGATGCACGAACTTGCCTCGTGATCCAGCTCCTTTCCGCCCTCCAAACGCTCCTCGAGCATCCTGCTACGTGCTTCTTTCCATTCGGCATCTATCGGCATCTGGCGGCAGTGACGTGTTTGCGTGCGCAGAGCACACCTGTTCTGTTCCAGCGACCAAGGGACGTACTGGCTTCAACGATCCGCCCGCTTGCCACTTTCTGGCTCATTATCGCAGCAACCGCTGTAATGCCACAACCCAGAGAAATCGGCTCGCTGGCCCAAGACCGGCAATGAACAGACTGCGTTGTTTCTCGATAAGCATCAGGTAGGACGCCGTAGAAGTTGCTTCTAATCCGCAGCTGTAAGCGGAAGACAGGCCACGGAGAGATGGCAAGCGGCGTCGTATTCGAGTCGGTCGTCCTTTGATAGCAGAGTAGCTGCCCCTTCGAGAAGTCCCGACACACCTCATTGGAGAAAAGTGTGGTCCGTTCCAGCTGCGAGCTTGCAACCAAGCACGGAGAAGGAGGGCAGGCGCAGAGGTTCGCATCCTGAGTGATAGGCGCGAGCATGAGCATTGAAGGGCGAGCCGGAAAACGGAAAGCCCAAACCGAATAACCCAAGCTGGCATAATATAAGCAAGCGATTTTTCGATTCAAAGAGAAGGCGCTTGTTGCTTGGCTCTGTCACGCTTTCGCTGGGCCCGACCGCAATCCGCAATGTCCGACACAGCCTTGATATCGCTGCAAACAACAACAGCGACCAGAAAGAACGCTCTGTCAGCGCCGCGAGCAGACCTGCTCTGGCGGATGACCATTTTGAGTCACACTGAAAGCAGAGCCCCGCCCAACACAAGGCCCAGCAGCATAATCGTGGCCAGAGGAAGAGGTCGAATGCCTGCGCCGAGGACAGTACACGGAAAATGAAGTTGAAGCCAGAATGTGAAGCGGGAAGGACGAACTCAAAGGGCGTGGAATCGTCAAGCGCCTCGGAGCCTCCGGCGAGTCCACGTGGTGGCAGGTGCGCTGAATAACAAGTCAGGGGTAGAGGGAGGCAGCCGGAAGGAAAGAACCAGAATATAGCATTACAAGCCAAACGCACGGAGTGGGAGGTCCGCAGCGAGAGTGCTGGAACCGTCAAGCATATCTTGCTCAGGAGGTGGGTGTTGAGCGATCTTTACAGTACCACGACACCACTTGTCGGGTACCTTCTTCTCCTGCAGGATCCTGGAATAAGTGTCGGGTGTCTTTCCGGTGGGACGACACCAGGTATCGGTTACCCTCTCCTTATACGGTATCGTAGGACGAATCTCCAGGTATCTTTCCAGTACCACAACACCAGTTACCTGGTATCTTCTGCTTGTGTTGGATCCGGAACAGAAGACCGAGGGAGCGCTCCGCTGTCACGATACCAGGTATCGGGTACCCTCTCCCTTCCTTTGCCAGAATCCGAAGTGATGGTTGTCGAGCATGCTTTCGGTGCCCGCTGCGACCATGCTATATCAGACGTGAAGCACTTCGTTTGCTCGACCAGGATGTCGTCTGATATAGGGCCACCACGGAAGCAGTCGTCATTGCTCACACGCCGCACTGCCAAATCATCGCCAGCCGTGGAGGTGACACCCAAGATAGTCATATCGCCATGACTCTTGCTCACTGCAACTCAACTTTGCCCACAACGACGAACCTTTGGGATGGCCTGGGCCATATGGTAGCTCAATGAGAGCGAGCGGCGTGCATGGTTCTGAGCGAAGAGGACGAGATGTAGAGGACTTCGCAGGCGGCTGGCTCGACATCTTCCACTCCTCTCGCAGAACTGTAGTCTCATGGAGCGACGCCGTAGTAAACTGTGAGGAGAAGAACGATGGGCCTGGAATGGGAGAATCGAAGCATAAGGAGCGGGAAAGGACAGTGGTTTTCGCAATATGGAAGAGGCCTGCGGATGTCTGGTTGAGGGAGGCACCAGATTAGAGAGCAAAGTCCAGAGAGTCCATGTGGCATGGATCTGGTTCGGAGCATGAAGACCACACTGGCGATGTATTGCGACCGCAATGGAAGGCTGAGAGACGAGGGCGCAAACATGGAAGAGCGGGTAGACGGAGCTCGCATGGTATCATCGGATTCGGGGTATGCTCGTGTTCAGCAGAGCAGATGTCGTACTTGACGCTTTTCCCCGTCTCTCCGCCAGATGAGCCGCGCCAAGTCAATTGTCCTGAGAAAAGTGTTCGATATCCACGCACAGCGGACGTCTTCGAGTCGTAATTGAGGAACGCTAGTAATGCTTGTGTCCATCTTGAGATCTTTGTCGACCCTGACCACAAGATATGGCTTTCCGTCCGTCTTCCACCTCGGACAAGCGTGTCAGATGTAGGCAAGTGAACACCGTTTCCCCGACTGCGTGGAAGAAGACGAAGAATGGAAAGCAAGAGTTGAGGAGGTGAACGGTCCGCAAGCACCCACACACCTCCTGGTACAGGCCTTCTCGATCGCCTGCTTCACCTGTGTCGCATTTCTGAGCTCGTCCTGTGGGATTCTGCGGCATCGTTGCTGTCCCTGCTCCGGGCATTGGCCTTCCAAGTTGGGCGTCTGGCATTCTAAATCTGCTGCAAAGACAAGGTACCCCTCCGCTAATACGGGCTTCCAGACTGTCCATTGTCTCCAAGTGGCCAAGCCTTTCATGAAAGGACAAGCAGACTGCAGCCGCAGCTTTGGAAGTCCAAGTGTGCCGTAATCGAAGAGGATGTCGGTCGAGAATAGCTACTCCAGCTCGATCGGTCTGCCTCCCTCGCCGTCGCTGCGATACTCGATCGCGCACGGCAGCATGTCCTCTACTCGAGCATTCTTCCCCAGCTGCTGAAGTGCTCCTGCAGCCAACTGGGTTGTATCCATCTCCTGAAGCCTGATTGCACTTTGCTTTCGTCTGGCACAATGCTGCAGCTTCGTAGGCCTGCCACTGTCTTGATCCGATTGGTCGTGATGGCTGGATAGCGTGGTGGAGGCTGTGGTGGTATACGGCGAAGTCGTGGTGTGAGGTTGGAGCAGCCACAGCGAAGATGCTGCGGTGATTGCGGCGCTCGACGAAGATGATACGGTAATTCGTGAGGATGCTGGAGCAAGCTTGGTAAGTGCTGGCTGGCAGTTTGTATGCTGGTGCTTCAGAGGTGGCATGTCGGAGCGGCCGTTGAGGTTGACGGCGCAAGCTGTGTCACGGATCGGCGGTGTCCGGGCGCAACAGTCATGTCCAAAGATTTGGACATGGCTGCTTCCATTCTCGTAAAAGGCCGCCCATGGACGCCCCCACAGGTGCGGAAGTGTTATCTGCGAGAGTCCTTCCCTTCCACCTGGGTTACATGTCCAGAATTCTGGACATGAAATTTAGAGAGGAAAGTCAGAGAGAGCATGGCCCAAAGTGCGTCACGTCATTCTGCGGTACATCACCACCGGTGCAGGCTGTGTCACGGCTCAGCGGTGTCCGGGCGCAGCAGCCATGTCCAAACATTTGGACATGGCCGCTTCCTTTCTCGTAAAAGGCCGTCCATGGACGCCCTTCCACAAATGCGGAAGTGTCATCTGCGCGAGTCTTTCCTATACATCTGGATTTCATGTCCAGCATTTTGGATATAAAAACCGGACATGGAAGCCACACACAGAGCATGTTCCAGGGTCATTCTCCGGTGCGGCTCTTGCAGCATGACATTACTATCTTCGATACTGGCATACCCTTTCGCGCTGAACATGAGCAGTAATAGCAGCGGTATGCGGTCGCATGCGTGTGCGGTGAGAATGGTCGTCATTCGTGCGTGCATTTGTCTGCGCGAGCATTTCCGGTATTGGTTGGCATCGGCTGGTGGAATTGATAAATTGGAAGTTGTTGGGGGGATGCGACGGCGGTGTCCAGAAATTTGGACATGACTGGCCATGTCCAGATTTTTGGACATGGCTTCCCCGCAGAGAGATTTCCGCGCCCAATTTACCTCCGCCTCGTCACAACCTTTGCCATCCCTCCAGGTTCTTTTCTTCCCACACGCGCATACAAATCTAACGTCGACACTTGGTTGGAGGGGAATGCATATTGCATATCAAGTCGAAATGCGAGATACACGACATCGACGCATTCCATCGCAGCGACTCGTACATCCTGCGGTCGGGAACCACGCCATCAAATCTTGGTGGGCGGGCCATCAAGTGTTAATGAGGCCCCCCGAAGCACCAGGTGTCCGGCGGAGCGAGAACTTGGCCTGCCAAGTTCTGCCTGAGGCAAGATGGTCGATTGCGGAAGTGCGGCGCTGCTTGAGTCGCGGGCATCCACCTCCGCACTCTGCACTTGCACTTGCACTCGCACTCTGCACTCCATCACCGCCTCACCACCTGCACACACTTATCCATGCATAACAATGCACGCCCGCCATCGCCGCAGAGCGCTCGACAGCGACACTTATCTCTCATTCCCTCTGTGAAGACCGCATCCATCCATTCTGCGGCGCCACCCACCGGCCCGCCGGGCGGAACGGCTGTCGGTCTCACTCTGCCGGTCACGTCTCCACTCCGCCCTCCCCTCCGCCGTCCGACATGGAACCCACACCACTCGAGACTTGCTCCCTTCCCTGTCCGACCTCATCTCAGTCGCTGCCAAGTCTCACGTCTAGAGTGCTTCCATCGTCTCGTGCGACATCGACACGTCCAACCGGCAACTGAATCCGCTGTTTCTCCTCCCGCTCTCTGCTTCCAAAACAACCGCATCACCGCACTTCTATGCGAGGCTTGCCGCAAGACGCTGGAGTAAGAGCTTGTGCATAGCATCATACCCAATTGCGTTGATACGGCTGGCAAGTCTCAAGCCGCCGGGGCGTACGCGCATCGAGGTCGGCAGCAGAGCCGGAAAGATGATGGGATAGGCCAGGGACACAACCACAGACGCCAGCGATATACCGATCTTGCCGGAACTTGCATGATCACCGGAGAGTATGCCATGCTCTGCAGTGATACGAGACAATACCATATCGACCACGCGCAGAGGAGGCCTTGTGGGTGAGCGTGTCTATCGCCAGCCGGCAGCGTGACTGTGCCGGGACAACCGCGTGCGCAATGCACTCCACTGAGACATCTTCCGTTTCTCATGGTGAGTCTGGCCAGCCAGATGCGGGTGCTGTGCTTCTGGTTTTGGTATCTCAATCTCTTTCCGCTTCCCTCTCTTTCCCTGCTCTGGCGTCCAGCTTTCGTTGTCATCTTCTCCCAAGTCTTCTCTGCTTAGCAACATTCACCGCAGCCTGAACAGCCGGACTCACGACGACTTCACCTCAAGGCATCGCCAACGCTTCTCTTAGCGCTTCCAGCAACCAACGCCTACAAAGCCACCTCAGATATCCAAACCACTCAGCTTCTAGATTTCGCGTCCACTGCCGCAATCAATACCGCAATGGCTCTTCCCGCTCTCCCATACCCGGCCCTTGCTGCCCCTCTCCCCACTCCAGAGCAAGAGTGCCGCACCTTCCACTCCCTGGACAGCACCAACTACGAGAAGCGTATCACGTGGAAGCCCATCACCGTCTCCATCATGCTTCGTCATGGCTCCTACTACCAGTACTCCTCGCACAACCTCCCATCGGTGTTCCAGGTTGAAGATCTCCTCGTCCAACTGGGATTGCGTACTCGCGATCCGGACTTCTTCGCGGCCTGTGCACGCAAGACGGTGGACAAAGTCATCTCCACCCTCAAGCACGGTGCCGGTGACGGAGCGCTTTACGAGGTGAAGAGCGAGAGCAAGGTGTGGACCGTTGGTTGGCGGGACGGAAGCCAAGACTTTTGGGAGAATGGTGTGCACGGCATCGCCAATGGAGAAGATCACAACATTGTGCTACGTGCCGATGAAGGCGCGCTGGCGGTTGGTGACGAGAAGCCTTCGACCGGAAAGGCCCTCATTGGTGCTCTTGTTGCTCGCTTCGAGGCTCGTCTGGAGGCCGCGGAGGATGAGATTGATCCTGGTGATGAGACTGTTCGCGGCGCCTCTCAGCCAGCAGCTGCTCCTCCTCCACAGCCTCAGCATCGTCCTCGTCCTGCCACTCGATCTCAGACCGGCTACGCTGCAGCTTCTCGGGTCACTGGCTCTCAGCCACAGCAGGCTCCTCCCAGCATCACTCCTGCTCCATTTCTGCCTGCGAGCACTCCATCAGCTGGTGCTCAGCCACAGCAGGCTGCTATCAACACTATTCCTGCTCCAACTCACGCTGCAGCCACCCAGGCTTCTCCCAGCATCACTCATGGCCCAACTGGCGCTGCATTCAATCAAGCTTCTGGTTCTCAATCTCGACCTCAGCAGGCTGCTCTCGATAGCACTCCCGCTCCCAACACCACTCCCGCTCCAGATCAGCATCCGAGCAATACCGTCAACAATCCATTCCAGCAAGCGAGGGTTCCAATCCAGCTTCCTCGTGAAGACCTCTACCAACAGATGCAGGTCAAGCTCAATACTCTGCAGAACGACAATTCTCGCCTCAGCGCTCAGATTGCCAAGCTTAGGGCCCGCCGCGGCGAAGCTACCCCAGCTCAGGGCAATGCTCGCCAGACTACACCAGCTACACCCGCTCGCGGTGGTCATTACCTTTCGCCATCTCCGACTCCAGCCCCGGAAGACGAGGTCGTGGACATCTCCTCGAATGCTACTGGCTTTCTGAATCGGCAGAAGAACAATGGTGGAGAGTATTGCGATGGCTACCCATTCCAGCCGGAGCTGCAGCAGCCTTCTCGCCAGCCCCAGTACTACTCTTCCCAGCAGCCTTCGCGTCAGCCTCAACACCAGCAGAACACACCCACCCCATTTTCAGTGGTGCGCAAGGTCACCATCGACCCCCGTCCCGCTACTTGCCAGGATGAGGATGATCTGGCTTCTGTCTCTTCTGGCCCTGCCAATCCGGTGTATCCTCAGCTCCAGCCTCGCAAGGACAATGTCGTCTACACCAATGGCCTTGGTGCTTCTCGTGGCTCGACCCAGTCTGCTCAGCCCGCACATGCCAATCACTTTGGTGCTTCTCCACCTCGCACCTCAGCTCAGCCTCAGCCTCGCAAGCAGCATGTCGTCTCCTTTGGTGCTAATGCCCCGCGTACTTCGGCCCAGCCAGCTCTGCGCTCCAACATCAACGGTCCTGCTAGCAACACCCGCTCTCACTTTTCTGGTGGTGGCAATGCTGCTCATGGAACTGGCCCGCAGCGTATCATTCGTCCACAGCAGCCGCAGCCGCAGCCGCAGTCGAACGACCAGTGCCCCGTCGGTCGCCCTCCCAAGATCGTCCCCAATGGCACCTTCTCCTCCTACCAGGCGCTTGGACCTTTTACTGGGTCTTGAGCTGAGCGGAGACTACCTTCACACTTTGTGACCGTTTTTTCGACTTCCGGACAACACTCTTTGGCACTTTCATTACTTGCAATGTGATTGCTTGGCATACTTCTCGACGGCATCTTTCTTGACGGCAACACGGATTGTTGGCGCAGAACTCTCATTTGCACACTCTTTGGCAGCGGCAGCACGGATCGGATCATCGATACTACTACGACGACTTCAACTCTCCTCTCTTCCTCTTTCGGCACACCTTCGCTTCTCGGCGGCATCTTTCTTGACGGCAACACAGATCGGACATTATTGGCGCAGAGCTCTCATTGGCACACTCCTTGTCAACGGGAACACGGATGGGATGATTGGGATCATCGATACTACCACTACTACGACGACCACTTCAACTCTCCTCTCTTCCTCTTTTCGGCACACCTTCGCTTCTCGGCGGCATCTTTCTTGGCGGCAACCTAGATCGGATATCATTGGCGCAGAGCTCTCATTTGTACTCCCCTTGCCAACGGCAACACGGATCGCATCAACTACTACCACGACGACTTCAACTCTCTCCTCTTCCACTTTCGGTACATCTTCGCTTCTCCACCTCGATCTACTGTCTACAGAGACTGCATTTGGCTTTGAGAATAACGGGATGGACAGCAACAACGTGACGATTCCGTCGCTTGTTCCACGACGGGATAGTGGAATGGCAGGTCTTCCGCCTAGACGACACTACAGCAATACAACATCGTTCTTGGCGAGGCGAGGCGAGGAGAACACATTATGATTCACGAGAGAGGACTTTGGAGGATTCCACGGAATTGAATCTGAATCTCACGCGGACATACCGTCACGTAAACATCGATCGCATGAATGATACAGACTTACAGAGAGAATTCAATTTGAATAGATGAGATCAAATCTAGCTAGAAAGAGGTCACGTGCGATAGATAGAAGAGGAAATCCAAAAAGTCTCTTGGGAAATTCGCGAGGATTGAAATCTTTTGGACTTGATAATAACAATAACAATCCCCCAACAAAAAGGCGTTTTATCTTTAGACTTTTCGATGATTCGTGTGGAGATGATTTACCAGCTAGACGATTCGAAACAGTTCTATTTTCTCTTAGAACTTCTTATTTGGGAATACTGCTGCTCTACGATTCTACAGGTTCTTGTCAGAGAGTACGGAGAGGAGGTGAGGTGAGGCCAAGGTTATGTCTCAGTTAGTAGTAATCTCGTCTTGGCACTGTAATAGTAGACTATGCTTCTAGTTCGGTCTCGAGCGACAATCAAGTATCGAGCATGACGATCACGTGTGCAGTCAGTTCATCCCTATCCTATCTGAACAGTACTATTACCTGCTTGCTCGCTTGCTTGGCGTCTTTCCTTTGTCGCGGCATAGGTTGGAGGTTAGAGCTGTCCGGCTAGGATTCGGGTATGTCTCAGAAGCCGGCCGGGCGTGACCGGAACGAAACGGCACCGCACTTCCTACCCGGATGATGCATATGACCGATCATCGATGGCGTTCGTGGAGGGCTGTAGGCTTGGGGTATCGCTGAGGAAGGATGAATTCCGCCGTAGAGGTGTAAGGTTGAGAGTGTAACCGCTTGACTGGGGACTCTCTATCACCGCGCTACACATGCATAGTAGCGCCCCGTATCACCCGCAATCGCCAAGGTCGTGCGTGCTTGCCGATGCATTCTGCAGGGAGATGATGGGGGAAGAGAAGATGCCGTGCGGCTAGAGTGGATGCTAGCCGGTTCGTGCATGATGGCTTCCACGACGCAAGATCCGGATGCGCAGTGCAGGCATGCGTCGTGCCGCGAATGTTAGGCTTGCGGGTTGCAAGTCATCATGCATCCTCCGGCAAGTGAAGACAAGCCCCGTCTGTGGTCTTCGTAGTATATCCGTTTGGCCAACGTTGAACAAAGACGGAGAGAAAGTACGGCGGCGACCTTGCACGTTTTGCTTCGTCAATATTGTCGCTCGCGTGGAGAGTCTGCTGCATTTGCCCCCTCCAGCGCCTGCCAATTTTGCCTTCTGACCGAAGAGGGGTTTTCAGAACCAACACACGCCATTGAGGCCACGATGGAGACTCGCAAGCGAGCTCTGGCGAGTACCCAAGCCCACGAGTTGGATTTCCCAGAGACGAGTGATCCCGGACAATCTTCGCATGAGAAAAGTCGGACGCAAATGGTCGAGGTCCCGGAACATCTGCAGCATCTCGTAAGTATCTGTCTGTCATCGTGGTTGTCCCGACGGAACAGATGCTGACTTCCGACGAAAGACCTATGGCACCACCATGAGCACCATCGGCGACCTGGTCAGCAAGGTCCCCAATACCCAGATAGCCTGGAGTCCGCAGATTTCTGCTCTCGTTGGAGACTGGGCGAAGGAGAAGCAATTCACCAAGACTCGCCCTCCGACCAGTAAGAGACACAGCATGTTCCGATTCTCCTGTCCTTACTAACAACCATTCAAGGCGATGACTTGTTCGAACTCCTCCAAATGCCAATTCTCAATAGCCTTACTTCTCCAGAGGGATGGGCGATCAGTGGCTGGCGCACGATTGACACGATTGTCCTGGGTCGTGTGCTTGCCAAGATTGAACGTTCGCTAAGCACCAAATCCAACAGCTTCACCTGGCCGAAACAAGTCAAGGATGACATTGTGGAGCAAGCACTGAATACCATCAACGACTACGGTTCATTTGGTAGGGCCGATGGTGGAGGGCCAGCTGGACCTGGAGACAGCAACGAGGGAGCGGAAACAGAAGAGGCCGGCGAACAAGACGATGTCACCGTCGAAGGCTCGGACGACTTCGGAGTCTCGCAGCTCGGATCTATCATGTCTCCCATGCAGCCAACACCTCAGCAGCGCAGCGCCCATGAACGCTCCTTGTTGCCGTCCCTCAAACTCGACACGGATGGGTTCGACTCGGCACGATTCTGGCCGAAGTCTTCAGGCATTCCTGTGGCGAGGAAGGTGGAGTCGAAGGAGACTACGACCAAGCCCAACGATGAGCTAGTCCAGCGTCCTGGGCGAAGCCGGTCGCTCAGCATGCCGAGGCTGAAGACCCCGTTGCCAAAGCCGAAGCCGAGCCAGGAGCCGGCTGGGCGACCAGGAGCCAAGAGAGAGAACCAACCACCGCAACCGGAGAAGCCACAACCGCAGCCAGGAAAACCCATGGATCCTCCCAACGAGGCTGCTTCAAGTCAGCAAGAGAATACAAAGCCAAGCGTGGGGTTGGCCATGTGGTGGGGGAGAGCCATGCACCCGAAGGCTGCTGCTCTCGAGGAGAACGCACCACCAGCTCAACAATTCCCTCCATCAGCAGTCGAGGTGAGAGGTCCTTCGACGTCCGCAGGAAATACCACCTCTACGAATGCGCCGGTCCAGAATCCCGTCTCCCGCATTCCGAAGCCATTCACGAGACCGTACACGAAGAGTCTCTTTGACAGGCGAGTTCCGAGCCAAAGCCCACGACAAGAGCCACTGGCTCAGCCACAGGTCACTCGGGGATTCCGCCAGGCCCATCGCGCTCCAGTCCCAGTTCCAAAGCTTCCTCGTCGCCGCGGCCGGTACGAGGTGGAGTACTTGGAGATACCCCACATGAGCTGGGTGATGGCTGCCGACGCTTCGGAGATGACAGACTGGCAGCTGGAAGACCATTATCGTGCGCTCCAAGACTTAATGGCGGAGCTCAAGACTCTGGAGGAGCGTGCTGAGCGAGCGCTGCTTTAGCCCCATTTGATGAACGGCGCAAAATGGATGGCTCCACTAGCCTCACTGCCTAAGGGTTCCAGGTAGCTCCACTAGTGGCTGGCCTGTGGATGGACCATGGTATGTGCAATTTGGGGATTGAGAGCTTCTCAGATGAGTGATCAATCGACGCTGTGATGATCGACATGATTGCATGATGAGATTTCGTGGCGAGTGAAGGATGCCAACGCTCAAGTGGTGACGACGTACGCAATACACAGGAAACCGGAAATTTCCTATGTCCAAAATGTTAGACACCAGTGAGATGAGAATAGATCACGTGCTCGAAAGAATGCTTTCAGAAACCTTTAGTCGTTTTACACCAAGTTATGTCGCCTGAACCTGAGGCAGAACCTCATCGGCATCGATCGGAATGGTCAGCTGACTCAGCTTCAGGTTCTTCGCCGGGGGCAATGGAGTTTCCTGCCGCTGTAGGAAGTCATCGATACTTTCACAAGAGGAGGAGTGCAATGGGCGCCGCAGGATACTGTAATGAGAGTGGTGGTGTGAGTTGAGATGTAGATGTGATTTGAATTCGAAAGTTATGGAGTGAGGTGTGGTATAATAAGCGTCCGGGACGGGACGGTTCGCAAGGCGCCCGCCGGTAGCCGCCGATCTCGAGGCCCGAGTCCCAATCGTCTCACCATCTCCGCTTTCTCTCCTGAGTCTCCTTCTGCCTCATTCCGTGCAAACCTCATTATCTACAGCCACATGAATCTCATCGAGCTCCTATCCTACCGTATCGCCCAGCCGCTACTCGCTTATGGACCTTTCGAAGGGACCTGCTTGCCTGCGTTGCCGCCCTCTCCGATCGCCGGTATCCGTCTATCCCGCTCAGCAAGAAATCATGACCTGGGAGGCTGGGACTCAACGAGAGGCCCATCGGTATCAAGACATCATGGGCGGAGCCTTCGAGACTCTTCCCCTCAACCGGCGTGGGTTTCAACAAGGCGTTCCGACTTTCATGCGCCGAGGTTCCGAACTCGAGCGACACCCCAAGATCGTCCGGTTGGATGTCGATTTCAAGCTGAAGAGCCAGAAACATGACGACCCGGCGCACTACAGCACAGCGAGCGACGAGACGGTACAATCGTGGCATGTCGATGCGTGGAAGATGAAGGATGCAACGATAAAGAACAGACAGAAGTGATGCGATATCTCGACGCTGGCCGCAGCAGTTCCTCCGAGCGCCTTTGGACCAACTCACGCAGGCTGCATACGACCGCCGCTACAACACACAGCCGCATTAAGATGATCTGGATTCTGCACTGCTCTTGCTTCCCCTTTCCCATCGCGATACACCTTGGGTGCTGAGATGACAATTGCATTGCCGATGTGATACCTCTGCGCCTGCAATACTTCTTGTAACTGCTTGCGGGCTTGTACGCTAAGAGTGAGTTTTTGGGAGTCGGAAGTTGCACGCCGCCAGCTTTTGCAGCTTGCTGTCGTCTGTGTCACCTCGAAGGGCCGTTCTCAGGACTTCTAAAACTCCTCAATCTCCGGTGCTTCGCGATCTGGGACCAAAGAAAGGTCTCCTACTGTTAAGATTCGGAGCCAGGCCGGAGACACCAGCAATGCGGGCTCTCAAGAGACTTTTCCTTACGACCCGGTCTTTTGAGCCTCAGCGGCGTCCTACGTTCGATCTGTATGATTCCTGCTTCCACTGGAGTTTCCCCAGCCTCTGTAAATGCTGACAACGCGAAGGTCGTTCACTTCACCTGTCACGGGCACAGAAACAAGGCTTGATGTCGAACTCTACTGCTGCATATCGCATCTACAGGCTGTAGATACTTATAACCTCACCGAGAGATACGACAACTTATCTTTCACAGCATCATTCCGGACGCCATGTCAAACACCGTGTCATCTCCAGCGTGTGCTGCACGGCACCAAACGCTTGAGCGCTTGGATTCCAGCGAGTGCATACCGCTTTCAACTCGACGGCTTCTAGTGTGATGCATCGACGGATCGCGTGTGGATTGCGTGGGCCTCGAGAGGCACTTCTCATCGATTTCGATCTCGGTGACAACCACGGTCGACGCTGCGATTCACACTCTTTTGACAACAATCTGGCCATCGCAGGAAAGCTCGAGATAGCCAGACGCTTGCATTTCTCAAGGGCAGAAGAAGTCCTGTCTTCCTCCAAAGGCCACCGCAGACTGGCACTGGCAAAAGCAACATGTCGGAAGGGAATCACGTGGGGCACAGCGCACGGTCCACCAGTGATCGCGATCACTGGTGGACCGTGCGCACTGCGCTTTCGATCGTTGCACCAGAATTCCAGCGCGTTTGCACCTCGAAACATCTCTCAGCATCACCACATGAACACATACAGGACCTCATCCAGAGCCATCGACTGGCGGAATGGCTCCCAAAGCATCAGAAGAGCCCAACGTACGCTCGGAACAGTTCAATTGGGTCAGGGATCTGCATAAAGATCTCGCTGCAGCCAAGACACCGGAGCAACAGCGAAAAGTTCTGATTCAATACACAAACGATCTTCTCGCCAGGCGAAAGCACCTCGCCGGCGATGCGGACGCTCTCGTGAGACTACCGCAATGGAACAAGTGCCGCCGATCCATCAGCGAGGAAGCGGTGGAGGCAATAGAGGCCATTGCCGGATCGAAAGCTCGGGGTGGCAAGACTTGCGACGAAATCTGCTCGCTACTGAAGCGGCTTGTGGCGACATGGGGAGATGAAAGAATTGTGCATTACGAATGGAGTCTGCTCGGTCGTGCAGCGTTGCAAGCCCTTGCGAGGGTAGCCAAGCGCTTCCCAGAGTGGGAGCAATTTACGGAGGTCGCCAACGAACGCCTGCTTCAGCGACACGAATCTGCGAGAAATGGAGGCAAGGCCATTGGCATAGGCGCCCACTGCTCCCAGGATCAAATCAAGAATCGTAATTCACCCTTGGGAAAAGCCGACTTCAACCACATCGAGAATGCAGATACGAAATCCACCGCTGCCAATGTTGATGCCTGGATCAAACTCTGCCCCTGCCTGGCCATACCCGATGACCAATCGGCATTTTGGTCCGTTACTTTGGACAAGTACGGTTTACTTGTTCCAGCAACAGAGTCGGCCCCACGCACGCTCTGCAAACAATGCGAATCCAACCGGGGAAGTGCTGCTAGTAGCCGGGCGACTCGTAAGCGTCCTGCACTCGACACGGACACCAACGACTTGAATCCCATGGAGAAACGCCCACGAGATGAACTGGTGGTCAACTGCGATCCGAAGAGCGCCGACGATGTGCTGGAAAATGGTCATCGTGGCAAGGAGGATTTCTGCCAAAGGAATGGAAGGACACAGGATGATGGGGCTCGAGTTGCAATGGAACAAGATGATTGCAACCAAGCAGGACGAGAAGACACCTCTCGATCCAATGGCATTGAGCAGCATGCTGAGCCAGTTCTGCCATTCAACATCTTCAATGCATCAGACAATCCACATTGCATCCGATGCAGAGGTCTTTGCAGTTTGTGCATCCTTCCACCTGGGTGTACGAATGGAGCCGCGCTCAAGTTCCACAGAGCAGCGCATGAGGCCGCAGGTATGAAACATCTGCATGAAGACGAAGAGTCAAGTCCATGGCTCCGTAAGATCCACTTCGCATCTCGTTGGCAGAAGGACGACAAGTCCGTCACGGAGAAGGATGCCGACGTCTGGGAGCTGGACGAGGAGGATCTCACGCAGCGATCGCTTCGTGGCGAGAGCTTCCCCAAACCCGTCATCTCGAAACAGAAATTTGGAGACAGTGGTGCTTTGAGTCTAGAAGGCTACATGGACAAGCTTCGTTCGACATACGCCGGGAACTTGAAGATCGCCGTCCATGATGGAGTTACTGGGACCCCCGAGACTTTGCCGGTAGACGAGCTTCTGCAACACCTTGAAAAGGTAATCGAGAACAGCAAAGATAACACAGACATCGATCAGCTCTCGGCGGAGAGCAATTCCACGACCGAGAACATGCACCTGAATGCACTCAGCCTTCCTGAGACGACGAAAGCTGACCTCCCGCGAATTGCTTCTTTGGATCGGTTTCTCCTCTTGTCAAAGCTGATTGATCGCTGGAAGGCAATCAATTGTGGCAACAATCTTGTCGGCAAGATCGCTGAGGCCACTCCCTTCGACATTGCTTCTTGCCTCGAGTTCAACATCCTTGGTTGTCCGGGTGCCTTCTCGGGTGCGCATCGTGATCTCATTGGGGGCACGTGGGTACGCACCCTGTTCGGCAGGAAGATCTGGTGGGTGGTCGACTGGGAGAAGCTGTCGGATGAGGAGCGCGAAGCCACAGCGACTCAAGGCAAGACATGGCAACCGAATGGTACTGAGCGCGCTATACTCCTCGAACCAGACGATGTCCTCATCATGCCGCACGAACGCCCCGTTGTTCATGCTGTCCTTACTCTGGAAACGGCGCTGATGAGGGGAGGGATGTTCTGGGATGAGAAGAACATGGAGTCCATGCTGGAGCACTTGAAATGGATCGCCACTCGACCCAACAGTACCAATGAGCCGGCCGCGTACCAGCTTCCGGCGATTGTTGAGACGCTGGGCGAATGGCTGACCACCACCGGAAAAGAGACTGAAAGTCTTCACAAGCTTCTGGGAGAGCTTCGCGACACTGGATGCAATTGCAAGAACGGCGAGAAGGGCAAGAAGGGAAAGCATGGCAAATGTGCAAAGACCACTTGCCCATGCATGCGTCGCAACTCGAGGTGCACTGCCTTCTGTGCAGGCCATCCTTCCTTTCCACCAGCTGGTAGATCGAAAGGCTGCATGGAGTGAAGGTTGAGCGGGGACGCTTCTAACACGCAGGAGAGCCCAGGCAGCTGTCAACAAGGACAGAGATATCTACCTGTGCATGTTGTAGATCTCAGATCGAATGCCAACCGAAGGTACCGTCGATGGAGAGCTAGATTGTTCCATGCGATCGGGTTGTGGTATTGCTGCCGACGACGATGACTGATGCAATCTGATGGGCGTAGTGGTTCCTCTTGCTTGATGACAGTCGAGAAATTGAAGACACGGATGTAACATACGATCAAACACGCCTCCAGGCTGGTTCTAATCTGTGAGGCTGTAGGCAGATATCAAGGTCTACGAAGTCTCTGTCTGTATCATAAGTAGAGCCGAAGAGATTTCAAACTAGCTTCAATGAAGAAGCGCTCGCATACGATTAGGGTAGGCGGCGTCGGGGAGAGGTCAGTGTGATGTTTGCATTGTTCCCACTCGAGCGGGTATGACTCGCCGCACTCGCACTCACATTCGATGTGTCTTCGAACGACTACTTCATTAGAAGTAGCAATAGCATAAACGCTGCCAGGCTGTTTACCACGGGCGACGGGGATGATAATGGCGTCTGTTTAGGTTCGTTGTATCTTCGGAAGGCTTGTTTGCTCGAGCCTGAAGGACTTCAAATACTTTTGCCAGCCTGTGATTGCTGGTTCCGATTGCCTCGAAGCAATTTCTCTTTTCGAGACACCGCGATGCGTGGGCAAGGTGATGAAAGATGTTATATATGTCTGTTTCGATAGTAACTTGGGCATCTGGATGTCGAAGAAGAGAGCTACACGTATCCAGTTGGCATCAAAACTGTGGATAGTAGTAGGCCTGTCTAGATTCAACCTGTCCTGCTATTGTTGCCAGCCACGCATGCCGCTGACAACTGTATACACTGGGAACGCTACAGATCCGACATCGATTCAGCATCGACGTTCTACATGTTCCTGAGATATATCCATACGGCATCTTTCTACTTATGCCCGCTCGAACCGCCGTGAAGAGCTCAGGGCCGGCCGCCAACTCGGCAGCGACTTGCGTCAAGTTCTCTCAATCTATCTATCGATGTTCCCTCTTACTGACTCTGCTTGATCCTCAAGCCTAAGCCTTCTGTGGTTGTCCGTGGACTAAAATCTCTCGTGGTGAGTCGTACAATACCCTGGGAAAAGAGCAGCGCTGGGCTTCCGGCAGCAGCCTTTTCGCCAGGTTTTTTTCATACCTGTTCGCTCTGTCCGCTGGCGGGCGATTGTCCAGAGATACAACTTTGTATCCTGACTAGTGTGTATATTCCAAACTCGCGCATGTGTCTGTTCAATCTGTTCACTCTGCCATGAGCTTGCGCTTGTGCTCGGACGCCGGGCGTGTTGCAATTTGCTCGCTTGCGACGGTGGACCGTGGACGATCGAGGGCGTGGCGGAGGAGGGTGCATGCGTCATCGTAGCGTGAGGTATTCGACCTACGCGCTTTCGAGGTCTCGAGCAGCGTCGTGATGTGGACTCCGAGTGGTGCGTGGGGGGATGTTGTTGTTGGGGTAGTTGGTATTGGGGTGTATGCGCAAGGTCTTGGGTTGACTAAGAGCCGAGCCGGGTCTGACCGAGCGGCTGCGGGGCCGAGATGCGGAGAGCTGCCACGTGGCGCGGCTTGTCCGGAGTCGGCTCCGCTCGTGGCACGCTTGCACAGCACGTTGTCTGTTCGCGATACAATACGACAGGATCAAATTTTGACCACCTCTGCTGGCGCAGTTCTAGATTTTTGCGATCAGAGCCGACTCCAGAACACTGCTCGCGCACCAGAACGATTGACCACAGACTATGCACACGTACAATATCCCATCTCGACCCACCACGTGAGTCAGCGACATCGACTACGGCGGACGCATGCGACAGCGCACATCTTCCACACCACAAGACCGACGACTCAGCAACTGCTCGAGAAGAGCGACACGTTCAGGTCGTTGAGTACGCTTCCGGCCTCGGAGATCTTCAGCTTCTACTACACCGAACTTCGAGCCCGAGCTTGTCTTCAATCGCGACCGAGCGAAGTACCAAGAACACGTCGCTGGACCTACTGCTGGTTGGCAACACGGATACAAGCCTGCTGGGCGACAAGGAGGTGGGAGACATCACACAATCACATACGATCGAGCGCAAGGATCTTGACGCTCTCGCGAAGATGCCCAAGGGGAAGCCTCGGCTGCCTCAGTGCCTCACCTCGGTCAAGTGCAGATACATTCTTGAGAACGACAACGATATCACGATTGCGATCGCGGCGGGAAAGATGAGATATTGATTGTGAAGACGATAGAGGTGGATGTCGATGGAGTGAAGATTCTGTAACCTGTTCGACATAGGGTTTTGGACATAAGAATTCTGGACATGGTCTTTCTGGACATGCCACCTCTGGACATAATAATTATGGACATGATAATTCTGGACATGATAATTCTGGACATGATAATTCTGGACATGATAATTCTGGACATGATAATTCTGGACATAATAATTCTGGACATGGTCTTTGAACTTTCTGGACATAGTTTTCTGGACATGGGAATTCTAGACATCAGAATTCTGGACATGAGCTTGGAAACCAAAACAAAGGGACACTAGATTCGTCTTGGATGTATTCAAGACTCTGCGTATCTCTGCTTTATGAACATACTTTAGGAGAGGATCGAGCCATAAGCGTGCCCATATTCGCCGCCTCCAAGATCGCCGCAATTCCAGCCGTGAACCTCTACACGATCTAATACTTATCCATGTCCACGGAGCTCAGGCCGATGTCGATCAGGACGCCTATCCCCTGTCCGTTCTGGTCCTGGTACATGTGATGGACTGGCAGCTGACCTTGGCCTCGGTCACCTGCATCTTCGGCACGATCTCGCTGTCCTTCAGCTTCTCCAAAGGCTTGTCTGAAAGACTCGTTACCTTCTCAATCTTCTTGTCGTGTAATGGGTTGGAAGTAACTATAGACAGGACCTTGCTTGCTGGGATGGCATACATGGCGTTCGGCGACGTACTCTTTCTGTCGCTTCGTGTCCAGCTCTGCCTTCCATTCCACGACCGCGTACTTCTTCCTGGCTGATAAGAGGGCCATCTCCGAGGTTGATCTACATCTCTGAGCTTCTGCCGCCTCGATGCGTTCGAAGGTGATCTGGACCATGTGCTCGTCAGGACTCCCCTTCAATTCCACGGCCTTGGCAATGCACTCTCCTATAATCTTGCGCTTGATGTATGCCGAGATCGTGTCCCTTTCTCCGTACAAGACCTCGTGCTCCCACCTCTCCACGACGCTAATCACTCTCCCGACGAAGCGGCCGTCTGCGGCTGTGGTCGCCTCCGCGCCCGCTTTCGACGACATGCTTCTGCGCGTGCTTCCCGACGCTCCGCAAATCCTGGCTGACAAGATCTTGCTGCTCACGAGCTGATGCCTTCCTCCGCCTCTTTACATTCCTTCACAGGAAGATCAGCCTGTCGATGATCTCGCTCAGCATATTTTCTTTGCCTCATAGCACGGCCACGTACGAGTCGCTCCTTTCACGTCACGATCGATACTCTTGGGTTCGTTGCTGTACACGTGGGCTGTGCAGCGCAGTTAGGGCGTTTCCGATAGAGACATGTAGGACAAGCTGGTCACGAAGTGAAAGACACGAAAACGTGCGGTATCGGCCGTTGCTCTACTGCTTCCATGTCCCTTCCGGCTCCTGGGAATGGCTCTCCGGCGAACGATCACCATCAGACAAGCGCGAAGCGCCATGGACGAGCCGATAGTTCCTTCAAACATAAGGTGGAGATCCTGCCAGTGGTATCGCAAACGCGAAGGCAACGAGCATACAAGCAGCTCGTCAGACTCCTTCCAAGCGCCCAGTCCCGCCAACTCCGATTAGCATCTTTAAGAAAGCGCGCACCGTAGGCCACATGACCGACCACGACATCGATGAGGACGACAGTGAGAACTTCGATCTCACTTCAATCACCAAGCGTCAGGCTCCGAGTCGACGTCTTGCCGTTACGAAGGATGGCCTTCGTCTTCTTCCGGGAGGTTGACCTCGTCAATGGCGGCGAACTCGAGGTATCCGCACGTCTGTATGACTTCGCAGCCGCACAACCCGCCCTTGTTTGTTCTACACGGTATAGGGCCGCCGTCTACCGCTTCAAGTGGTATTCCGTAGTCAGTGGTCACGGCCTCGAAAAACGTCCACGGCTATCGTTCAGCAAAGGCGAAGTTTAGTGAAGGTGTCGTGGAACCGCGCATATGCCACTCAAGCCATGGCAGTGCCAAAACATCCGTCTTGCTCATTCACCCAGTCAACACCACACATCAACCCTTTGTGTTGGCGCCGTCTTGAAGATTTGGGCAGCGAGATGGCGCCACAAAAGTTCAGCTCGATTGACAGCCCGCAGGTGTTTTGATATGCTCCGACGTGCACCATGGGGGACCCGGCAGCAGCGCCGGGCACACAATGGGCAGTCGGCCGTCTACCATTGGCATTGGTGGAGATGGCAAGAGTTCCACACGACATCAACACCGAGCATCTGATACAACTCCCAGGGCAAGCCCACGTCTATGCCCGGCCACATGCGCACGCCGTTCTCCGCGGACTTGTAGCGGTCGATGAGAGTTTGCACCTTCAAAACTGCGAAGTCTTGCAATGGGTTGCCGGCGATCATCGACATGTCGTCGTGTCTGTTCGGTGCCGGGGCTACCTTCTAGCCACCCTCCACATGGTCGTCTTCGAAGATCATGCTCCTTCTCCCAGACCAAGCTTCTTGTTTGTGGTGCATCTACACATACAGAAGGTCGCGATGCCAATGTCTCTCGCCCTCGCCTCACAAAACGTGCTTCTGTCACGCCGCCCCGCGAGCATTTGCATTTGCTCGTATGCACGTTGACCCAATGATACCCCCGTACCGCATCCTGGCCACGATCAAACTCGCGGACGAGATCTACTAGAGGATCTACACCTGTCTACTGGCTTGTAGTTCCGGATGGCTTCGGCATCGATTCTAGGAGAAGCTATTCTCAAGGAGCAGCTCTAGCCCTTGCTGCTTTGAAGAACCTCGTATGGTCCCGCGGAGACCCTTCTGGCGTCCTCTACCATACTGCTGGAGCCGTGGGAGCCTTGACCGCAGTATACGATTAGTGTAGACTGCATCGTCGAAGGAGGTCAACTCGAAGACTCCCGCCTTCTTGCGCCCGGCCGTGGCCTACTTCGGCGTTCAGATTCTGTCCCAGGACATGGCCAGCGTGCCAATCAGGAATCAAGGAAAAAACCGAAAAGCAAAACAAGAACGAAGTGCCTTTCCAGAACATAACCGAAGAACCGAAGGTGTGCTGGGCCTCTCCGAGTTGGTAGTGATAGTTAGGTGCCCGTTTGAATGCGCGGCCGTGGCCGTGGCCTTCACCAGCCGCGTCCTTCGCTTGTACAGCCATGAGTCTCTGGATGTTCTGCTAAAGAAAGGGATTTGGTGCTCACGTATAATGTCTGTCATCGTGCTGGGATCATGAAGCTAGTCTGTTAATTCAACTTCATTGTGACTGTAAGATCAGGTGACATTCTGCTTTTGCGAAGAAGGACAACGCTGCTTTCCCGCCTTCTTGGTCGTGGGAGGTGGTTGTACTCTTAGAGATGTGGTAGACATGTCTTGGTTCTGTCGGATTCCCGAAGTGGCGTCGATGCTTCAAGTCTTTTCGACTGAGACGCTTGAGGCATGTACATCGTGGTCGACGGGGTATCTTGCCTCCAGCAGAGCATCAGCGCCGTCTACTCGGACATTCGGAGGAAAATGGAATGTCCCGTCTGCGATCCTTTCTGTAGCTATGAGACCGCATAGACATGGGCAGGATGAAAGTCACTCTAACCTGGGCAGCTCATACTCCCTGGAGAGTTCTACTCGCGGCGGCTGCTTCATGGCTACCAAACTTTACGAGACTCGGATCAACTTGGCCTTTAACATTACGCCTGCGGGAAATGGAGTCACAGACTTCGGAGCAGAGGTGAACTGCGGTGACGGGACGAATGTGACTCCAGATTGGTACGCTGGTAAAAAAACATTACCAGCGCCGATTTGCTACTTGCGTAGCTAACGGAAGGCGATCCTGTCACCGTCTGTGCCTATGCCGGTGCGCATTTTACAAACACTCTCACTTCCTTGTTTTCTGGTGTCGTTGCGAGGTGTTTGTTACACACATACCTGTCCCAACTCGAGCAACTTCTTTCTGCTATAACCGTAGAGCGACGGGTAATGCTAGCTTCGGACGGTGGGAACGTCTTTTTACACTTCGGACGGCAGCTAGATACGGCGGCTACTTGAGCGTCTTCCCTTGCCTAACTGAAGCTCGGAAGCTTCCTGTGTACGTGATGCCGCCGGTAAGGGTGGATCTGAAGAAACGCTAAGTTGTATCCGCGTCGATTGGGAGAGGCCACCCTAAGAAGGGACAACGTGCCTCTGGCCTCGGCACGAGAAAACTGTCAGGCTTCATCTCGGTGTGTAAGAGCTGAACACCCTGAAGATCACCGCGCGTCTCCCACATAGGTTTCACGGAATCTGTTCGCCTACTTATCGTGACTTATCGGACTGCTCTCTGTACTTCTGTCGACTCACTCCAAATATGGTTCTTTTATATCTAGTGTAGGTCACCGAGACGGCAGATGTCTAGCACAACACCGCCGGCAGAGGTATATCAGTAATCACGCTCACTCGAAACAAAATTCCCTAGGTCGAGAAGCCAGTAGGTGTGACAGACAGTCGGCGCCTTAAGCCAGAAGCTACTCGTCTGGTCTGACAATCCAGAGTGCGTTCCATATTTAGGGCAACGCCGGAACGAGGCCCTTTCGTACCATGAACCTCTCGTGAGGTATTGTCTCAGCACATTAGAGTCGATTATAACAAACATTCACCAGTTAGCTAACGGCGATGACTCCGATGAGATTAGCGATAAGGAGAAGGACACCGCTATGGTTGCCCCGAGACCAGAAAGCAGACGCTAGTACCCAGTCATCGGCGTGAGATCAATTATCGTCGTATCTCGGAGAAAGAGAGGGTGAGAAAATGCGAGAACTTGACCGAGTCCGGTATAAGCTGTAGGACACGCCCTTAACCTTTAGCTAGTAGGAGGGCGGTCAGCGAGCACTGAGGGGTTCTGGGCGGTAACGAAGTAAATATAGAGAAGATATTTCCGATCAGAAGAGAGCTGCAAAGTGTTAGCAATACCACGGTACTATCGAGGAAATTCCAATTGATATAACAACCACTCGGCAAACGGATAGTGAAACACATGTGAGCCTAGCGGTTTCGGCGTCATTAATAAGGAAGCTTCGCTTGACATTCAAGAGCGAAGGATCTAAAGACAGACGCATGAATCTGGAAACAGTCTGCCTCGATAAGCAAATGAAGAGACGTCTCTACTCGAGCGACGAGGCCATATCTCGGCGGTGAACGCTCGAGTCGAGCGAGACGCTCAAGTGCTGCCATTGTCAAGGTTCAATCCAAGTTGGTAGCGGACCGCCAGTCGGATGGAGCGCAGGTTCGCGTCGAATCCCGTAGTGTCGCCCTCAGCTGCAAGCTTAGGCAACTCGCGATAATCCCGATAGAGGCGCCCGTGGTTGGCCAAATAAGCACGTACGCCCGATGCACCCATGACTTGCTCGGCAAAGCGCTCCAGTCGGTTCTCTAATGTAGTCCGGGTTTCCGATTTGTCGTTACAAGTGGTAGCATGTTCCGGAGGAATGATCGAGGGTACCAACGTCGTGGAAGTGGAAGCAAATCGTAGCTCGGCTGCGCATAGCTTAATGTCAGACGACGAGGCCTCCATCTTTACACGAGGGAGTGGTAGATGGTACGTAAAGTCTCGTCTCGTCGCTCTTTTCAATGAATATTACCGGCCATATTCAAAACTCGAGACATAACCAGCCATGTCCAAAATTCGAGACATAAACAGCCATGTCCAAAATTCAACCAGCCATGTCCAAGATTTGAGACATGGCTAGCAATGGACAGATCAAGCGTCATTTGAGCTTCGACTCTAATAAGTGACATCAAGATGAACTTACGCGATTTGGTCGTAGGCACTCTTCTTCGCTCGCATCTCCATGTCCGGCTCCATGTTCTCTACAGCAATATTGTCGGGTCTGACTAACACCGACGAGTTGCTTGGAGCCGTCGACCTGATGCATCTCAAGCATGTGCCAGATTGCTTTGTAAGGCTCTTGGAAATTATCTCGATATGTGACAGGATAATGGACTCTCGCGGGCACACATGCGTGTCGGCGGCTGCGGTATTTTTAAGACCTTGGAGCAGCTCGAATTATTCCTCGGAGCCAGCAACGACCCCAAGTTGGCAGGCTGCTTAGTAGTCTGTCGATGACCGACCAGAAGAGTACGAAAGGCGAATCCAGCCTCTCGTCTAGTCAGTCGATCTTGAAATTATCGACGTCGTAGTGCTTACACGGTATCATCCAAATCATACGAACACGGCCTCGCAGCTGGCTGCTGGGCGGGTTGGAGTCGTGCAGGCTGCCCCGGTCCGACTACACGAACGCATACAAGTATACATGGTGTTCTGAATTGGACTCCGTCCTAATGTAGATGCTCGCGGTGCCACTGATCCCTAAGCCCGAGCAATTCCCTGCCTCTGTGCGGGCTCTTGTTGTCGAACATTCGCTTGTGCTCCTACTCTACTGGAAGATGTTCTGGCTTTGGGTCCCATCGGTTAGCCTACCAGTTACGCACAACTTGAGCGCAATCTTCTCCAGGTTGAGTCAGGCGTCTGCGGTAGGCCTCGTAGCCGGTGCCCGGTCGGAGTCGTGGTCATCCTCGCGCGCCTGGGGATGCATACGGTCAGACAATTCCTTCGCCCAGGTCCTGGACTCTGGCTTTGCTAGAGATGACATTCGTCTTCATCTCCACCTTCGGAATCACCGGCATGCCGATCTGTGATCTCAGCGCCAGAATGGCATCACTGTGGGCTCTGGCACCATCTTATGGGCCGGAAAGATACTCTCGATAATGGAAGAGCACTCGATGCTGTCTCTGTATCGAGACAGTCTCACAGATTCAGCCAGTGGTTCGCAGTCGACTCCGGCAGGCTCTCCGGCCCTCTCTACGTGAGGAAGAAGGTCCTTGAAGTGCGAAGTATCGAACTGAGCTACGGATACGTCTGTGGACTTGATCCTATTGCACAAGAGTCCACGATATGTCATTACGTCTGCACCAGCGTCGCGCAGTCAAGGGTCGTGTTCCTCACCTTGTTTGCGAATACATTAAGCATGCCAAGCCGAAGCCCCGGAGCTTCGCTTTTTGACTGTTTCTCTTGCTTGCGCGAGCGCTTCCCGGTGCCGTGAACTGTGGTAAAAACGCCTGATGCCCTTGAGGTTTGAGCATAGGTGGCTTGCACTATCCTGACAGAGTCGAGTCCCCGATGTCGCTCTTCCGTCTGCTAATATCTGTGAGCGACTTTGTCTTGTCGTACCCGGTCGCGGACGTCCCAAACATCTTCGATCCGAACAAGGGCGAGTCTGTATGCCTGGACGCAGCCGGGATGGGCATCGAATGCTCCCCCCTCGCTTGGACCCCTCACTTCCTTCTCTAACGCAAAGAGTCAAAGACGTTAGACTCGAGCTTATCGAACTTCTTGCCTATGCTCTCGAGCGTCATCTTAAACGAGCGCTCTGTTCCGGTCAGCATCATTTCCTCGTTTGTGCTTTCAATGATCTTGAAATATGCTCGTCCTCCCCCTCGCCGTTGGAGTCGAACATTGAGCCGATCTGGCTGTCAATTAGCTTGGGGCTCTGTGGCATGTTGAGGTACCGAATGGATATGCAAAAGGACTTGTGTCTGGCTGTATATGCCTGAGCGTACACGAGTACGCAACAGCGCAAGATCTGTATGCGATCGTGACTCTACCTTTGGTGTACAAGATCGATACTGACATCACTGCACCCGGCACACGTTTCTGACGACAGCCGATCATGTGGATGAACGAGACCTGCGAAGAGGACGGGTCCAAGGAAACGGCCATAGATAGCTCCAGCTCCACCTAGACGAATGGCTCCGGGATAGTCCAGAAGTGCAGGAGATCGGCTGGTAGCATGTTCAATCCTCGATGTAACGCCGTAATGTTGAGCGACTTCGAGTACATATACTGCAAAGCGCCCAAATGCGCGGAAATCCTCTCCGTACTCTCTTCGAGGACCGTAACGAGCACCAGGGCCATATTTGACACCAGCAAGGAGCATATCAGACATGAACCTGAAATAGCGTCACCGAGATAATACCATAATCTTCTCTGTCATGAAGATGACATCCAGAACGGGGGTCGAGCAGCACCAAGGGCGAGCGCTTCAGCAGGATAGACGGAAGTAGGCAGAAGATGAACAACAGGTTCATCGTGACGCATATCGTTACGAGCCACCAGTATAATTTCGGTATCGACGACGGCGCAGGATGTGGTCCGATTGACGATCGTAGGCTGTAGCCCATGACACAAAGCTCTCGAGCTCCATCTCAGGCTCAGTGGTAATCCGCATGTAGGACCAGCGGCTCAACTTGCTCACGATCACATCGTTTGAATCAAGCGGATGAGAAGGTGGAACATAACTCCGCCCAAGTGGAGGCTGTCGGACAGCTTGCCGGTCCTGAATTGGTCGCTAGTGTTCACGCTGACTGCAGGCGGGAGCTCGAAGCTGTTCCAGCTGGTGGACAACTTACAAGAAGCCCCTTTGGTTTGTTCATGTTGAACATTATGCTTTCAGTGATACACTCGCGCTCAAGCATGTCGTGATGGGCCGGCCCTAGTTACGGAATGGAGGTTGGAGTGCTTGATCTTCAGTGGCCGGTACATGTACCTCGTCGTGCCTGTGGGATTGAATGCGCATCAGACCAGGTCTTCGCTTCGGTTCCCGCACCACGACGAGTAGGCGCATTCTCTAGCTGCAACATCGCGATCCTGAACACGTTTCTTGACACATAACTGAACTGCACTCTGTTCATCCGCATTCTCCCGACGTTGGTCGGCAACCTCATTCTCATCAGCATCAATTATCGGCTCACCTGATCGAATATGGTCTGCATCCTGGATCTGTAGATGCACGAGTTCGCAATCGCCCACATGATCGTTAAGCGGCTTGAGCCGGGGCCCAAAACCTCCACATCAACGTCCAGACTCCGCTCCGTGGTCAGGGCTGCGATCTAGCCTCTGGTGGAGATCACGGTCTCGAGGCTGGGCATGTCGAAACAGATTCTCCATTCCAGACTCATGTGGGAGCGTCTTGACCTTGTGATTCAATACTCCAACGCGAGACCGGGTACGATAGTGGTCATGTCCATGTCCTACCCTTGTGTTCCTACAAGGCTGAACACCTTCTCGAAGGCGTCGCTGGACGAGTTGCCGGTACATTCTGCGGTGATATCCAGCAATTTTGCACACTGTCACACATCTCCTCCATGCGCATGTTGACCTGGCGATCGGATCATCGGGTACTCGAGCCTCTGCGGAAGCACGATCTCTTCGTGTTGAAGGTATCTCCCGCGTCGCCAACCGCAGGTGGAGCCGTGAAGAAGGTGCCAGACATGAGCGTGCTCCTGCTTCGAGCCGTGACGCTGCCAGATCCCAATCGCATCTGCACAAGGGAGAGGTTCTTCATATCTACCTAATTAAGCCTCTTCACAAGGAGCGCAGCAAGCTGGACTATCGAGCTGGATCTCGCGCTCGATGACGCTTAGATTTCGCTCCAACATCGTGGGCAAAAGTGCGGCCATCGCCACGTCCCGCTTCATCTCCTTTACTGTATCCGGCCGCGACTTCTTATACACGATTATTAGCCCGCGTAAATCCTCGTCCTCGTCGTAGCTCCGAACTTCATGTTGATTTGGTTTTTCTCGTCGACTCTGTCCTCTCTGTTCTTCCTGGAGCCGAGAGATTCCAGGATCACGTTCAATATCGTGGGCACGTTCTCCGCAGCGAGGCCAGCTGGCACTGGGTCTTGTTTGTGAAGACAGCCAGATGCGAGATCATACTGTTATGACTTGCGTAGAACGACGTCTACTCGCACGCCCGCATCTTATCCCCAGTCTTTATGGTCAGACTTTGTTGCGCCGGCCCGTGGTAGTTGACGACAATCTTAACCCCAAAGGCGCTGTGCAACTTAACGCTGAGGCGTAACGACGTCAAGATCGGCACCCTCCTGTTGCTCTCGGTGCTGCACCGTAGATGGTTCAGATGACGATCATCGCCAAGGACAGAGACGACTTGCTGCTTAACATTATCGTCACTACCAAGAAGTTGGTTGTCATCTTCTATCCGCTGTTGTCCAGGTATGCAAGCGTGGTGCCGAGCGAAGAGACCCACCATGATGCATTTACTAGCAGCCCTTCGTCTGTATTATGGTGGTCATGATACCGGGACAGTTGTGGCTCACTCTGTTAAACAGCGGCGCAAAGGCCATCTTGGCCAAGCAGGTGAGCGCGAAGTCGCAATCGATTTCGATGTTGCTCTGCAATGGGACTCCGTTCTTGTTCTGCTTTATAAGGACGCTCGGATCCGCGTCTTCGATCATTCTCAGAGATCCATCCACTGAGCATCCAGTGCTTCTGTCTTTCGGACGTCGCAACGTCCATGTTGTGGGTCGGAGTGCTAGTGATGTCATGCTTCGGCTCTCCGACGCGGATGCAGTGCGAGCTCGAGTGGAAGGGCGAGACGTGGGCCTGCTCCGTGGGCCAGACAGAATCGGCCATGTCCAACGTGACTTACCTCATATCCCTGCCGTTGATGCTACGCCTTGTGACAGTCTCTCATTCCCCTCCTGTTTGTTCTTG